TTTGTTTGTTGTTGTTTTTTTGAGACAGGGTTTCTCTGTGTAGCCCTGGCTGTGCTGGAACTCACTCTGTAGACCAACCTGGCCTTGGGCTCAGAGATCCACCTCCCCCTGACTCCCAAGTGCTGCTATTACAGTCATGGACCACCACTGCCCAGCCATGTTTTGTCATAGTTATGGTTTCTATTGCTGGGAAGAGACACCATGGCCACAGCAACTCCTATAAAGGAAAACATTTAATGGTGAGGCTTACAGTTCAGAGGTTCAATCCATTATCATCGTGGTAGGACATGACTGTGTGCAGGCAGACACCGTGCTGGAGAGATAGCTGAGAGTCCTACATCTTGATCCCCAGGCAATACGAAGCCCACCCCTACAGTGACACACTTCCTCCAACAAGGCCACACCTACTTCATCAAGGCCACACCTCCATGAGCTTATGGGGCCAATTACATTGAAACCACCACACATTTTATGATTGCCAGCTTCAGTCAAGTGAGTTAGCTCCCTCTGGATTGCAGACTTAGAGCTCTCTCCCCACCGCTTTGCCTACTTGGGTCGTCGGGCAGGGTGAAAAAAAACATACCTCTCACCTAAAAGGGACTAAGAGACAGTTCATTCTGGAACCAAATATGAGAGACAATGGCTTCGGAACACAGATGCAGGTCATCCCAACATGTTCCAACATGGTAGAAGTTTCCTGAAGACTTTTATTATTTTAAAAAATATTTAATGACATTCTTATTGTTTAGCACATGTGTGCATGCTAGAGTGTGGTGGTCAGGGGTCAAACTTGTAGGAGTGAGTTCTCCTTCCATCACATTGGTCTAGGGCTAGAACTCAGATCATCAGGCCAGCCGTCTCTCTGGTCCATATGAAATGTTTACAGTAGCAGAACAAAGGAAATTATAAATCAAAAGCACTTATAAAAAATACCCTAATGGAGCTGGGCTGTAGTGGTGCACGCCTTTAGTCCCAGCACTCCGGAGGCAGAGGCAGGCAGATCTCTGTGAGTTTGAGGACAGCCTGGTCTACAGAGGGAGTTCCAGGACAGACAGGGCTACATAATGAGGTACTTTCAAATAATAACCAAAAAATTTTAAAACACAAAAATAAAATATCTTAGTGGTAAGGAGGGCACAGCCAAGCTGTGAAATCTCTGTCACAGGCTCCAGATGTCATCACATGACATTTCTAATTTAGGGAGGTAGTGGATGCCAGTGATATGTCATACATTACAGAGGGGATTTGCCTAGTAACCACGGGGATGGATATTAAGCCAAACAAGGGGTGAGCAATGAATGCCTATTAAAAACCAGCCCAATAGCCGGGCTGGACCGATAGCCTCCTGAACAATACAGAGAAACCCAGTCTCGTAAAACCAAAAAAAAAAAAAAAAAAAAAAAAAAAAAAAACCCAGCCCAAGATAATTTGGCTGCAGACTGCAACACTGCAACATCCCAGCTCTCCACAACCATGGAAGTTCACAGTCAGCTAATCAGTCTTACAGAATCGTTTTTAAAGATTTTTAATTTACTTATTATGTATACAGTGTTCTGGCTGCATATATCCCTGTGGTACCAGAAGAGGGCACCAGATCTCATTATAGATGGTTGCAAGCCACCATGTGGGTGCTGGGAATTGAACTCAGGACCTTTGGAAGAACAGCCAGTGCTCTTAACCTCTGAGCCATCTCTCCAGCCCTGATCACACCTTTTAAAATAATTTATCTAACTTTCTTTTATGGGCATTGGTATGAAGGTGTCAGATCCCCCCTGGAACTGGAGTCACAGGCCGTTGTGAGCTGCCATATGGGTGCTGGGAACTGAACCCCGGTCCTCTGGAAGAGCAGCCAGCCCCTGATCAATCTTTTAAACTTTCCATAAACTTAGCAGTGTTCAGAAAAATCCTAAAAGGAAGCCAAAGGACAGTTTACAAGCCCAGCCTTGGGTAATCTCAAACCCATTAAGAAAGTCTAAGAAAAACCGTCTTTATAGCAATGTTATCTACACCCCACAAACCAAGCTGTTGATCTTGGTAGGGCCATGTCTCCTTCCTGGGTACAAGAGAAAAGAGTTAGCCTAGGACTTGGGTGGTATGAGTGGGATGGAATATTGTCCTGCCCCGTAAGGGTCCTTCCAATGTCATCTTCCAGTTGGTGTACAAGGAAAGTCCCCTGGAGCCCTCTGTAGGAAATCGTCACAAATATTCAAAGCTAATGGTGACTACTGTTTCCATTGTTTTTCTATGAGTTCATGAGTCTCTAGCTTAGCGTTTCTCAACCGTCCTAATGCTGCGACCCTTTACAGTTCCTCATGTTGTGGTGACCCCACCCCAACTATAAAATTATTTTGGTTGCTACTTCATAACTAATTTTGCCACTGTTATGAACTGTAAACATCTGTGTTTTCCAGTTGTCTTAGGGACCCCATGAAAGGGGGTCACGACCCAGAGGTTGAGAACAACTGCTCTAGCTGATCAGCTTGGGGTTTTACAGTAAAGGGAAGAAAACACTAAATGACCCAGGTTAGACCACTCCCACTTCTCAAGTGAGCAATAACTTAGAAAGGTAGACACTTGCTTCTCTCCAAAGGGCAAGCTTGAAGGGCTGTCCGGGATTTGCCTCCTGACACACTTGCTTCTTGACCTCCTCGCCATTCTCGATGTGTGCCTGCTACATCCTGGCTTGGCATGGTTCTTCAGCACCAGCCTACACTCCAAATAGGAGAAAAGGGGAATGGGAAAGAGAGGGCAAGGCTCCGACCACTAGAGACACCTCTAACACTGCACAAAACCTTTGCGTCTGCAGTTCCAGAACGCAGTCACTGGCCACATCCAGCCCGAAGGGGGCTCTGCTGCGTGGTCTTTATACCATGGGTCTTGCCAACTCAGACGATCTATTTCTGAAGAAAGGAATACCGGGGCATCCCTGCCGGTCGTTCACCTCTGCTTCCCGGCAAAAACGCCTTATTTATTTATTTATTTTATGTTTACTTACTTATGTGGGTGAATGAATGTCACAGAGTGGGTGTGGGAGACAGAGGACAACTTGCGGAGTAGGTGGCCTCTCCTACTAAGTGGGTCCCAGAGTCAAACTCAGAGCATCAGGTTTGGTAGCAAGTGCTTTTACCCATCGAGTCATCTTGCCAGTCCCCACAAACGATTCTTCTCACCTCTCTGTAACCAGCCTTTGGTGTCAATAATTTCTGTCTCACGGTTTCCAGGAGGACCACAAGTTGAGTTCTTAGCCTTTATCCCAGCACTCAGGAGGCAGAGGCAGATGGATCTCTGTGAGTTCGAGGTCAGCCTGGTCTACAGAGTGAGTTCCAGGACAAAGCAATACAGATAAACCAACCCTGTCTAGAAACACCAAAATAAAGAGAGAGAGAGAGAGAGAGAGAGAGGAGTTCTTAGCCCAATTCCATGAGCCTTTTTTCAGTAGTCCACTTGGCTTCTGGATCTCAAGCCAAATTCAGGGAGAGAACACTTGATTGGTTGCATCAGGTCAGGTGATAGCACCTCAGTCAGCACTGTGGTAGCAGGACACCCCTTTAGGGTGGATTGGAGCTGATCTCTAAGATACATGGTGTAAGGGCCTCTGCTAAGCCTTCATTACAGCTTCCCTCTAACCGCCCTTTGCACTGTGGGCTGTCTGTCCTTAGGGCAGGGCTGGGGAAGGGGTGGAGGTGGGGGCTTGTTCCTGGCTTTAACCCACAGCCTTGGCATAACATCAGATGCAAAATGAACAATCCGATGTAGCCTGTAACTTTACTGAGGTTGAATACTGAAGAGATTGAAGAAGAAAGTATTGTCAAGGGCTGTACAAGGGCCTATGTGCTCTGACTCTAGTGCCAGAAGCGATTTCCCAGAATTATCCAGATAATTGTGGTTTCTTTCGTTTTGTTTTTGAGACAGGGTCTCTCTCAACATGGTTGTCCTCACTGTGTAGATCCACCTGCCTCTGCCTCCTGGGTGCTGGGATAAAAGGCGTGCGGCATGGGTCCAGCCTACCTTTTCCTTTCTCTTCTTTTTTTCCTGGACAGGGCCTCACGCGTCCGGGGCTGGCCTCAGACTCCCTATGCAGCTGAGGGTAGCTCAGACTTCCAGTGGATCAGATCCTCTGGCCTCTACCTCCCAAGTACTCACAATCCCTGTTTCCGTGTCTCTGGAGGTCAAACCGAGACCAGCACTCTACCAACTGAGCCACCCAGCCCTGGTGACAGTTTCTGTCTCACTGGTTAGCATTTGGCCTGTGCCTCTGCCCAGGACTAGAGAGAAGCTCTCTCCTGGCCCAGCATATTATCACAGCATTTGGGAGGCAGAGGCAGGTAGGTAGACGTTCAAGGCCAGTATTGTACTTGCAGAGTGTTTGAAACCAGCCTGGACTACACAAGACCATGTGGAGAAAGGGGGAGGAGAGAGAGAGAGGCAGAGACACACAGAGAGAGACAGAGACAGAGAGAAAGACAGAGAGAGAGATGGGGGGGTGATAATACGGGAGGCACACTTTTAATCCCAGAATTTGGGAAGTTGAGGTAGGAGAATCAGGAGTTCAAGGTTATCCTCTGTTACACATGGATCAAGCTTACACGATCTTGCCAAACACACATGCACACATATATGCACACACAACAACAAATCCACACAAAAAAAGCACCTTATATATGGCCCATAAGAGTCCAAGCTGGAGGATACCGGCTATCCTGCCAGCCCCTTGCCTGTGTCAGCGTTCCTGCCAAAGCTCCATACTGGACCCCACTAGGGCCAACACCGGTCAGGCCTTGGCCAAAGTGAGGCTCTGCATGCAGGGACACTCAAGGAGCTGGGCTGAGGAACAAGGCAGACACCAAGGTAGAGACAAAGGCAGGAAACCATCCTAGTCATTTGTCAGACTGCTGTTTGGGGACAGCAGATGCAGAGGAGCGCCAGTGTCCCCTCCTCACCACTCCTATGGCCACCGCTTGCCCTCCCTCACTACACTCCTGTGTCACCTGTCCCTGCAGGCATCTAACCCTTTGTGGCAATCCCGAGGCTCCACAACGGTATCTTCAGGAGGTCGTTTCCGCTGCCCATCTTGCAGGCATGAGGTTGTCCTGGACCGGCATGGGGTCTACGGCCTTCAGCGGAACCTGCTAGTGGAGAACATTATTGACATCTACAAGCAGGAATCCTCCCGGTAAGCTGCCTGGCTGCTGCCCTCTCTGGAGGGAAGAGCCTGCACCATCAGGGGTAGAGGGGTTGTCTTAGTCAGGGTCACCGCTGCTGTGATGAGACCTCCAGGGAGGCCTCACTTTGCCTCTGGAGCCAGTGTTAAATCTTACTCCCCCTGATCTATAACCAAAGTCCACCCCAAAGTCCTTGACCTCCCCCGCTCCCATGACTCCTGCCCTGTGGGACATCTTTGGCCCCTGCAATGAACTCTTCTTGGGCCCAGTCTTCTTGGAGCATCTTTGCCTCCCCAAAGTGAGAGAACACGGTGTGAGTTTCTCCCACTGGTCACAGCCTAACTCTCTGGCAATTGCTGCTCCCTTGTCCATGGTCCTCAGGCCCCTGCACTCCAAGGCTGAACAGCACCTCATGTGTGAGGAGCATGAAGATGAGAAGATCAACATCTACTGCCTGAGCTGCGAGGTGCCCACCTGCTCCCTCTGCAAGGTCTTCGGTGCCCACAAGGACTGTGAGGTGGCCCCTTTGCCCACCATTTACAAACGCCAGAAGGTATCTAGCCAGGGAGGGATTTGGGAAGGGGGTTTAGGCTGGGACACTTCTCGTGCTACTTAAGTAAGGTGTAGCAGGTCTGGGCCAGAGCACCCAGGTCTATTCTTGACTTGGCACACAACCTTGAGGATGTCACCTGACCTCTCTGCCGCTGACATCCTTCATTTGTCGGACAAGGTGAAGATGATGGCTGCTGTCACCATAGCTCTAAGTAATGCATGGCAGCAATGGCTTCAATACAGAGCACTGGATACCCTCGGGGGTCTTTAGTCACGCAGCTGGCTTCTAAGTATGCTGGCATTTTAAGATCAGATTGGTGGGGGCATGGGAAGAAAGGGGGATCCTAGGAGGGGTGGGGAGGACAGGGTCAGAGAGCCACTGCAAACAGAACATGGATTGTTTCTCAGCTGAGCGGTGCTGGCCAGAGGGAGGCGGCTATATCACAACCCTACTGTAACAGGTGTGTTGGTAGGGGTGCATTCTAAGACTCCCAAAACCTCAGGAATCCCAGAACATAAAAGAAGTCAATTGTATCACCAGACTTGTGACAGAAACAAACGCAAATTCTAAGCTGGAGGAAAATCCCTTCAATGTAGACCCTTAGGCTGACCTTAGATTAATATCAACAGAACAGTCATTCACGACTGAAGATACACAGAGAAATGTCCTCTGTGAGTGCAGTTAGCAGGGACAATTACAGTTTAGATCCTTGGCTTCTGAGAGCAGCTGGAAGCAATGGCTTTTCCAGAGGCCACAAAAATATACAGCAGATGGGAACTGATAGTTCGACCCACCAGATGAATAACTCTCTGATGCAGAAAACTTCACAGGGCCACAGACTATGAAAACTGGTTGCTTCTGTCTGTAATTTTTCTCATGTGCCGCCACATTCCTTCCGTAAAAACAGCTATGGGTATTTTCTCCCACTGCCTGTGTATTTACCTCTTGTAAATTCCATCTACTGGGCACACATATAGCTGGGGATGGTCAGGAAGATGATTTCTGGTAACTGTATAATTTTGGTGAGTAGAAATAATACTAAGATATTTTTAGTAGCTGAGACTGACATAGGAAAATTACATTATTCTCAGTTACAAAGAGTTTTTTACCCCATTAGCTGATTTTAGATCTTAAAACAAATTCAAAATAGACTAGTTGCCCCTGCAAAATATGCACAAGGGCAAGTTCCCAGGTGTGTGTCTGCTGAACCAAAGTCAGGATATAACTCCCCACAGAAATTAACTTTCTGCATGTACTCCTAACCTCATTCTTATGATACAAGGCTCAAGGTTCAGCCAACTAACTGTTCATTGCTTAGGTCCTAATTTAGTGTCACTCTCCATGATATCTCTCAGGCTACAGACGATAGGATTGTATGGCCAAGCGTTGCCACGGTTACTCTTTTCCAGCTGGTCAGTGTGACATTCTAAGCCTGAGAGAAACTGTGTGATTCCGTGTGTATCAGAATGGCTGTCTCTATTGTTTACTCAAGAAATACTATGTGAACCTGAAAATGTAATTTATATATTGTCCAGAGTTTGTTCTATGAGGAAGTGTGTGAATGAGTGTGTGAGTGGATGTGTGTGAGTGTGAGTGTATGAGTGTGTGAGTGGAGGTGTGTGTGTGAGTGTATGAGTGTGTGAGTGAATGAGTATGTGAGTGGGTGTTTGTGTGAGTGTGTGAGTGAGTGTGTGAGTGGGTGTTTGTGTGAGTGTGTGAGTGAGTGTGTGAGTGGGTGTTTGTGTGAGTGTGTGAGTGAGTGTGTGAGTGGGTGTTTGTGTGAGTGTGTGAGTGAGTGTGAGTGGGTGTTTGTGTGAGTGTGTGAGTGAGTGTGTGAGTGGGTGTTTGTGTGAGTGAGTGTGTGAGTGGGTGTTTGTGTGAGTGAGTATGTGAGTGTGTGTGAGTGGGTGTGAGTGAGTGGATGTGTGTGAGTGTGAGTGAGTGAGTGAGTGAATGAGAAAGTGGGTGAGTGAGTGAATGAGTGAGTGAGAATGTGAGTGAATGAGTGGGTGAGTGAGTGTGTAAACGAGCAGGTGAGTGGAAGTGTGTGTGTGAGAGTGAGTGACATGGAAGAGAGACGTAGCAGCTATGTGGAGAAATGTAACAGAGTAGAGAAGTGTGTATAGAAGAGAGATGTGTGGAGAAAAGAGATGAAGCTCTATGTAAGGAGATGCAGCTGTAGAGAGATTGTCAAGAAAGTTTTTTTCAAGGTCAAGTAAAAAGTTGCCATCAGAAAAGCCTGTGCTTGTTCCTTTTTTTTCTTAAGTTACAACCAGAAGGCATGAGCCCTCCCCTGAGACCCTCAGAGAGATACGATGTTTCCTAAGGCCCCTACCCTGAAGGCATTCTTTCTGCAGCCCTGGTACAGTAGGGGAGCTGGCCTCTCGGGCTGCAACACTTGGTGGAGACTCGGATGTTGGAATTATTAGAGAACAGAAAGTCACTGTGCACAGAATGTTTTTAGAAGCTGGAATAATGGCAGGCACGGTTGAACACTCCGCAATTCTAGCACTTAGGATACTGAGGCAGGAGGATCTCCAGAATGAGGCCAGCCTAGGCTACACAAGGAGTTCCAAGGCAGCCTGGACTATATAAGGAGACCTGTTGTTAAAGAAAACTGAAGATGAAATAAAGCAACAACAACAAGTAGGATTGGAGCTGCAGTACACCTGCCTAGCACAAGATCCAGGATAGATTCCAGAACTGAAAACATGTAAAATGACCATGCAACAGCCTGTTGTGGTGGTGTACACTGTAATCTCAGAGACTAGGGAGGCTGGGCAAGAGGATCATAAATCCAAAGCCAGGTTAGAAAGACCCAATCCAAGAAAAAACAAACCAAAAACATAGAAAGGAAGCAAGAAATTAGTAACTGTTGAAAAAAACCAGTGGATAGATCAAGTGATGGATTTCTCACAAGAAAGAATTACTGGACACAGAAGAAAGCAAACATCAAATAAAGAAACCCAGAATGCACCGGGGAGTGGGAGGCTGAGGTGAGGTCTAACGTAAGTCCTCTTTGACTTACAGAATGACAAGAATAGAAGGGAGGCAGTGTTACCTGAATGGTAGCCCTAAGAATATTTCAGGGTTAGTGAAAGACATGACTGCTGACAAAGCGCCTAGGCTGGAGACTGGTACCCAGTGGGTGACTAGAGAATGTCATTTCCCCTCACATTTGGGGCTGGGGACACTTAGAATCCACTGAATGTGTTCCCATGTGTCTGGAACTATCCAAGCCTTCTAGATCTTTGTAGACGTCCTCGACGGGTTGAGGTGGGGACAGTCCCATGGGGCTGGGGGGAGCTGCTGCAGGCTGGAGCTTCCAGCTCTAAGAAGTAGCCCCTGTGTGTGACAGAGCGAGCTGAGCGATGGCATCGCGATGCTGGTGGCAGGCAATGACCGTGTGCAAGCAGTGATCACGCAGATGGAGGAGGTGTGCCAGACCATTGAGGTGAGCCTGGGCTGGGCGGGTGAAGGGGACAGAATGGTCCATAGTCAGAGAAAACAGCTCCTCCTTGACCTCTGGGCAAACTGGCCAGAAAGTTTCTGGGCCCTGGCTCATGGTGGATTGCTTTTAGCCAGGCTGATCCTAGTACTCACCAGCTCTGCAATGTTGGTCAGCTTGCTTAAACCGTCTATGCTTTGGTCTTGTTTGTCCTTTGACTCCATAAGGTAGAGATGACCAGTGGAGTGGAGGCAGAATAGACACAAGTCGCAGGCCAGCCTAGGCAAGTTATGGAGGTCCTATCTCTAAATAAACTAAGCAAGTAAATAAGCAACTGGGGCATGGTAATTCAAGACAATGCCAGCACTTGGAGGCCAAAGCAGGGGGATTTCCCGTCTGAAGCCCACTTGACCCATCTCAAAAATAAATGAGTAGCGGTGAAGGGATGGCCCAGCAGTTAAGAGGAAGTCCTGCTATTGCAGAGAACCAGAGTTCAGTTCCCAGCACCCACACTCATGGCTCAAAACTGCCTGTAACTCCATCTCCAGGGGAATTCAATTCCTCCGGCCTCCACAGGCGCCCACACAATGAAATCATGGGAATAAGCAAAATAAAATAAATTAAAAAATAAAAGAGGCTGGGAGGTGAGAGTAACCAGACATTATATATGTATGAAATTATCAATGAATACATTTAATTAAAAATTATGTGATAAGAAATAATTGTACGCCCTTAGAACGTAGTTAACCAAATATATTTGAATATTGAGACAATATTTCCAGTTCATTAATTTCAGAAATTCAGATTTATTGTTTTATTTTCAATTATGTGCATTTGTGTGTGTCTGTGTATGGGCTTGTGCACTTGAGTGCTAGTGTCCACGGAGGCCAGAGGAGCTTGGTGGATCTCTTGGGGTTGCAGGTGGTTGTGAACCCTCTGGCATGGATATAGGAACAGAATTCAAGACCTCTGCAAGAGCAGGGCACACTAACAGGGGAGCCATCTCTCCAGCTCTAACCAATGTCCACATTTTGAAATAAGGTTAATTTCATATTAGACCAGAAAATTAAATGTATACAACTCAAATAACTTTTTCAAAAATGATGCTGATAGTGACATGGTAGCTACCTCATTTTATTTTCTTTAAGAAGCAAGTGGAAATTAGCCGGGCGGTGGTGGCGCACGCCTTTAATCCCAGCACTCGGGAGGCAGAGGCAGGCTGATCTCTGTGAGTTCGAGGCCAGGCTGGACCCACAGCCTCCAAAACAATACAGAGAGGCCGGGCGTTGGTGGCGCATGCCTTTAATCCCAGCACTCAGGAGGCAGAGGCAGGCGGATCTCTGTGAGTTCGAGGCCAGCTTGGTCTACAGAGTGAGTTCCAGGACAGCCTCCAAAGCTACAGAGAAACCCTGTCTCGAAAAACAAACAAACAAAAAAAAACAAAAAACAAAAAAAAAAACAATACAGAGAAACCCTGTCTGGTAAAAAAAAAAAAAAAAAGAAGCAAGTGGAAATTAAAGCAAAGCAAAGCCAGGGTCAGGGACATACATGGCTCCCAGAGCAGCTTTGAAATGTGTTGTCATCATTGCTAATTGGAAAGACCGGAGTTGGGGTCTGTGCCCCTAACTCAAGGTGTGACCCTAGTCACACTTTCCTGCTTGGCTCTCCTGAGTTCTGTTTAAGGGGGAGAGGGATAAAACACCCTGCTCTGGCAGCTCTGGGGTGCTCGGCCGCGTCCTCCTTCGGACTGGGCTTGCTCTGATCTTGCAGGACAACAGCCGCAGGCAGAAGCAACTGTTAAACCAGAGGTTCGAGACCTTGTGCGCCGTGCTGGAGGAGCGTAAGGGAGAGCTGCTGCAAGCCCTGGCCCGGGAGCAGGAGGAGAAGCTGCAGCGCGTGCGGGGCCTCATCCGACAGTACGGAGACCACTTGGAGGTTTCCTCTAAGCTGGTGGAGTCCGCCATCCAATCCATGGAGGAGCCGCAGATGGCTCTCTACCTCCAGGTGAGCGGAGAGGGAGGGCGGCAGGCGCCCAGGGTGGCAGGAGCCAGGGACTGGGGGGCCCGGCCGAGTCTTACCACCACGACCTGGGAAAAGTCACCCTTCTATACTAGCGGCCTCTCCTTAACGAATCGGGATAAACGCCCCACCTACCCCGCAGGACTGGTGAGAGTCAGAAATGGGGCTTTGCCGGGGCTGGCCCAGCGCTCACCTTGGCCCTCCTTTTCTCCCCTGCAGCAGGCCAAGGAGCTGATCAACAAGTGAGCAGTCTGCCCGGTGGGAAAGGAAGGGACCCTGTGGATTCTTTCCTTCCGATCTGGGGAGGGGCTCGCGGGAGCGGAGGAGTTCGTTTCCCTGCTGAGCCCTGCGGCCCTCACAGGGTCGGGGCGATGTCGAAGGTGGAGCTGGCAGGACGGCCGGAGCCAGGCTACGAGAGCATGGAGCAGTTCTCTGTGAACGTGGAGCACGTGGCCGAAATGCTGCGGACCATCGACTTCCAGCCGGGTGAGGGAGCCGGGGGAGGGACTGCTTAGACCCGGCCAAAGGGTGGGAGGTGGACGCCACTGCCAGAGGAGCAGCGACTCCACGTCACCTGGCCTGCCTTCCACCTAGGCGCCGCGGGGGATGAAGAGGATGACGAGGTGGCTTTGGAAGGGGACGAGAGCAACGCAGGGCCGGAGGAGGAGCGGCTGGACGGGCCAGAAGGTGAGAGGTGAACGAGGGCTTTGGGGTGAGGAGTGACTGGCCAGCTTTGGGCGGTTGCCTTCCCAGCGGCACCAGGACTTCTGGGAGCCCCCACTCGGGTAAGTGTCACGCAACAGGAGCCGCAAAGCGCGCCCCCTAGCGCGCGCTCAAGAGCGCACTCTTCCCACCGTGGGTTCCCCACGGGCTTTGGGGGACCAAGGTGGGTGCCTGGGGAAAGCTGACCGTGGGGGGCGGGTGCGCGGGACGGGGGCTCTGTGTTCTTCTGGAGCGCCCGCCCACCAAGCTGCCTTTCCCGGGAACAGGCCTGCACTGACCGGACCCGGATCCAGAGCGCGAGCCCGCAGCGGGAGGCAAGGCTTGCAGAGGATCTGCTCAGAGACCACCGCGCAACCCAGCTAGGCGTCCCGCCCCGGGGAAGGGTCTCAATAAAGGACTCTTGCGTCCCACGTCCCGGCTCCTTTCCCTGCCCACTCAAAGTCTCTGCTGTAGAAGCAACCTCGCCATCACTCTGCCCTTTCTCAACCCGAGACCATTAGAAGGGGTGGAGGTGAAATAATAAGCCCCGGGTGGGCACCTCCTTTACACCAGAGGTGGACTCCTGAGCCCGAGACCTCGGAAGGAGTGGAGTCTTAGGACCCGAGTTCCGGGATCTGGACGGGCTGGGGGGAGGGGCGATGAGCCCCAGGGACTTAACTGAAAGCTTTCCTCTCCCGCCCCACTTAGCATGCTTGTGTCTGCTTCTGGCCTGGGAACCCCCACCGCCCCCAAAGTTCCCACCCTTCTGTAGTTGCCGTTGCTCCCCCACGACAGACGATAAAAGGCTAAGTTCTTGGGCAGTTTTATTTAAAAAAAAAAAAAAAAGCCACTCAGAGTGCTCAGGGTGACTCTGGGAGGCGCTGCACCGCGGGACTAAGCCGACTTCGGTCGCGTGAGCTTCAGCCCCGGGGTAGGTAGGGGAAAGGGTCGAGCCTTTTGGGGTCCCACACCGGGCCGATCACTTGCCCACCGCGTTGAGTATGATGCGGTTCTGCTCTGCGCGCTCGCGTTGGCTCTGTGTCCGGGCCAGCTCCAGCAGGGTCCGTAGCAGGTGGAATGTGAGGTCGATGGACAGCGGAAGGTCTTCCCGTCGCTGCCGCTCGCCTGCTGTCCCCGATCCGGTGCGGCGCGGGAAGCGCTCGGCTAACAGCAAGAGGAGCGCACGGGCGCCGCCGCCCTGATTCCGCGCCCCGGGACTCCATCGCAGATTCGGATCCTGGACCCCGGGCGCCGCCTCAGTCGCTGGGCTCCACTGGCTGCTCCCGGGGCGCAGCTGTGCCAGGAGCAGCAGTGCCACTAGGAGCGTAGCGCGTCCCCTCTGCCTCATGGTGCCACCTGCCCTGGACACACAGGGACAGCATAGGGTGAGGTGCGCTTGGAGCAGCCGCAGGTGACACGAGCCCCTTCTCCCGCATGCCCAGTGCCCCCGCCGGGACCCGCCAGCTGCTGCCTGGTGTCCACAGCTTGCCCACCAGCCCCAGCCGCTGAGCCAGTCCGGTTCCACCCCTCTCTCCCTCCTTCCCTCCCGGCGGCTCGCAGTGGGTAGGCTGAGTGCAACCTTGCTGCTAAGGGAGTCTGAATCGTTGCTCCGAGCCACTCACAGGTTGTCGGAGTGTCTGCCCGGGGCAAGATGGAGCTCCAGTCTCTGTCCCTCGGGGCGGGCTGAAGACGCCTTGGGGAGCACAGGGTCTGTCCCGGGACCGCCGACAGCCTTATATAGCACCAGGACAGCTCCGACTGACGTCAGCGAAGAACATGAACTGATTGTAGAAGCAATGACAGCGGCAGCTTCGAGTCCAGAAACTTCGAGCCCCCGGAGGGGCGCGCATACTGACCCTGGAGCTAGCTTTGGAAGCACCCTGACTGTAGAGGAGGGAGAAGCCAGCTAAGGCATAAAGATTGCTCTTTCCGGATGCAGAGTTCTTCCCTCACACAGAACAGCTCCAGGCTAGTCCGGGAGGGGCCCTAGGACCGTGGATCTGTCCGTGGTCCTGAAGTTACCAGCAGCCGAGAATCTGGCCAAAAGCTCTGGAGGAGAATCCTGTGCTGCTTATACAGTCCCCAGGCTGACTACCGAGTCCCCAAACTAAGATCAGGAATGCTCTACCAGCAGGGACTCGACCGACACAGTCCCACCCAAAGGCCCTCTGCCCCAATTGGTCTGTCAGGGTTCTTTTTTTTTTTTTTTTTTTTTTTTGGTTTTTCGAGACAGGGTTTCTCTGTGGCTTTGGAGCTTGTCCTGGAACTCGCTCGGTAGACCAGGCTGGTCTCGAACTCACAGTGATCCACCTGCCTCTGCCTCCCGAGTGCTGGGATTAAAGGCGTGCGCCACCAACGCCCGGCGGTCTGTCAGGGTTCTTGACCTTCTTAAGCAGCAGAACCTAACATCTACAGGTGTTAGATTGCGCATGATACAAAACAGGTGTTTGGCTTTCAGAACGAAACGCACCGATCTATCGTTCTGAGCTTGACAAAGCTAGCTTTTCCCCCGGGAACCACAGCAATATTACTATTATACTTTTTTACGTTCTAGTTAAGATCACCTAGGTAGGAAGTGAGAAAACTCGGGCCCCAGTTCCTGCTCTGCCATCAACTCATGGTGTGAGCAGGCTCCTCACTTCTGGAGACTTGGTGTCCATCTTTGTAAATGAAGGCCAGGCATCAACAGCTCCACTCTCCAGTTATAGACATGTCTGTGTCTCCTGAAGGGTTTTATCCATGACCGCTGCAGACTCCAGATAATAATGTATTTATTTCTGTGTCATAAAGACACTCAGAGTGTCTCAGAGGGCACTAGGACCCAGAAAAGTTAGGATGACAGACGTTCTGGGCTAGAGTACTTGATTAGCATGCACAAGGCTGAGTCCAATCCTGCACACTGGACAGAAAGATGTATCTATAGGAAGTGGGGATGTGCTGGGCATCAGTGGCGCACGCCTTTAATCCCAGCACTCAAGAGACATAGGCAGGTGAATCTCAGTGAGTATGAGGCCAGCCTGGTCTACAGAGGAAGTTCCAAGACAGCCGAGCTACTTGTCTCAAAAACAAAGTGAGGATGAGTACTTTTTTGGAGGATGAGTATTAATTGTTGGAATATGGGTGTAAAGTTGACGAGGTCATATTATTCTACAAGTATTTGTGGAATATATACTATGTGGTATAGGAATAAGAGAAGTCACGCTGCATAAAGATCTTTTAGTCAATGATGACAACTTGTACAATGGTGGCTTCATGTAAGTACAAGAGAGTTGAAACATCCTACCACCTAGCAACATTAGTTGTCATGTTCTATTCACTATACATGTACTTGTGATGATGCTGGTGGAAACATACTAAGCTGCCAGTAACATGGAAGTATGGCTTGTGCAATTATGTACAGAATGTGCAAGTTAATGATAAAGGACAATGTTACTGGATTATGAATTTGCTATATTTATCATTACTTTAGAATGTCGTACATACAGGGAAAAAAAAGCTCCCTATAAAACAGTGTACCATGTTACACTGGCAGCAGGAGAATACAGCTCACTGCATCCAGATGTCATGTGAAGTTATCTGTCGCTATCTGTGCAAGCATACTCTATGATGTGTACACAAGACAACGTTGTTAAAAGACACAATTCTCATACCATGTCCCCATCAGTACAGAGGGACAATGTTATAATTTCTCAGTAATTTCAGAAGTGTTATATATATATATATATATATATATATATATATTTTTTTTTTTTTTTTTTTACGAGACAGGGTTTCTCTGTATTGTTTTCGAGGCTGTCGGTCCAGCCCAGCCTCGAACTCACAGCGATCCGCCTGCCTCTGCCTCCCGAGTGCTGGGATTAAAGGCATGCGCCACCACCGCCCGGCCAGAAGTGTTATATTTTTAGAGTGAAATGTGCCACTTCAGAGTGGCAAGTCTCTCCTGATCAGCAACTCCATACCATGAGAACCAACAGACTGTAAGAAAGATTTTATTTTATGCTTAACTATGAGTCGGTGTCTATCTGCACGCATGTGCATGTGAGTGCGGGTGCTTCGGAGGCCAGAAGAGGCACCAGAGCTCCTGGAGCTTGGTTCACAGGTGGTTGTGAGCCATGTGATGTGGCTTCTGGGAACCACACTTGGGTCCTCTGTAGAGCAGTCTATGGTCTTAGCAGCTGAGCCACCTCTCCAGTCCTGATGTACTCCCTTTGAGGACAATGGCCAAGCATTCCAGGCTGAAGGTGCAATAATGCCAGGTGCAAGCCACGGAGCCAGGCAGGCTTAGAGCTGATGTGCCTTCCAGGACAGGTAGGAGTTCCAGACAACGGCAACACACTGGACAACAGCCAACCTAGGGGTTAGGGATAGACTGTGAAGAGGAGGATGGGTAGGGTAGGGAGAGTAATGGAAAAAAGTTGCAGATTTGGGCCTCCTTCCTTTGAGCCCCATGGAGGAGGAACTGTATGGCTTGGAGCAGGGGAGGCAGTGCTGCCTGTCGGATGAAGGCCTCAAAGCTAGAGTAACTCCCACAGCTCCCCCTCTATTTACTAGCTGTGCATGCGTGGGCATGGGTACACACGGATTCAGTGGGCACTCGTACACACAGATTCAGAGGACAACTTTGCGAGCTGGTTCTCTCCTTCCACCATGTGGGTTCCAACAATGAACTCAGGCTGTCGGGTTTGGCAGCAAGAGTTCTCACCCACTGAGTCATCTCACCAGTCCACCAGCAGCTCTTTCAACAAATGACTCGTCATCCATGCCTCTTTCTAGACCTTTCCAAATGCATCTGTACACCTTATGCCAGCCAAGATTTCATTCCCCAAAATAGCGCACTGCCTGCCATATAAAATAGCCGTGTGTGTGTGTGTGTGTGTGTGTGTGTGTGTGTGTGTGTGTGTGTGTGTGATTTATCCACTCTCAGGCTCTCATATAGTTCAGGCTAGTCTTGAACTCTTGTAGACACTATGTCACCAAAGACAGTCTTGAATTCCTGATCCTCCCCCCTCTGACTTTTTTTTTTTTTTTTTTTTTTTTTTTGGTTTTTTTCGAGACAGGGTTTCTCTGTGGCTTTGGAGGCTGTCCTGGAACTCGCTCTGTAGACCAGGCTGGCCTCGAACTCACAGAGATCTGCCTGCCTCTGCCTCCCGAGAGTGCTGGGATTAAAGGCGTGTGCCACCAATGCCCGGCCCCCCTCTGACTCTTTAGTGTTCTTTTCCTTTTCACTTTTTTTAAAATTTCATTTTACATTCCAACCACAGTTCTCCCTCCCACCCCCCCTCACCCCCACACCCTACCCCCAGTCCACTCCTCGTCATGGGTAGGGGCTCCGATGAGGAGTCAACACAGTCTGACACAATAGGTTGGGGAAGGGCAGGGGCCCTCTCCCATGCATTAAGACTGAGCATGGTGCCAGGCGTTGGTGGCTCACGCCTTTAATCCCAGCACTCGGAAGCAGAGGCAGGCGGATCTCTGTGAGTTCGAGACCAGCCTGGTCTACAGTGTGAGTTCCAGGACAGCCTCCAAAGCCACACAGAGAAACCCTGTCTCAAAAAACAAAAACAAAAAAGGCTGAGTATGTATGGCACCCACCATAGGGAACGGCCTCCAACGAGCCAGCTCATGTACCAGGTTTACATTGTGGTCCTGCTGCCAGGGGCCCTCTGATAGTCCAGTGTCACCTATTTCCAACTGTCTGTCACATACTGAGGACCTAGTTTGGTTCCACTGAAGTCTCCACAGTAGTAGGTCCTCTCTAGTGTTCTAGTAATAAGTATGCACCCTCATGCCTGGCCTTTTAAAATTTTTTATCATTTCATGTGCGTTGGTGTTTTGTCTGCATGTTGTCTGTCTGAGACTGCCAAATCTTGGAATAACAGACAGTTGTTAGCTGCCATGTGGGTGCTGGGAATTGAACCTGGGTCCTCTGGTAGGGCAGATAGTATTCTTAACTACTGAGCCATCACTCCAACCCCCATGCCTGGCCTTTTGCAGAAGAGCCAAGTCTGTTTCCTAACACACACAACTGACAGCTCATAATGGTCTGTACTCCAGTTCCAGGGAATCCGATGTCGTCTTCTTGAGTCTATACATCTGCACAACATGCATACAGCTGCACATATTTAAAAAGGAGGGGGCTGTTTGTTTGATTTGAGACAGGGTCTCACTGTGTAGCCTTCACCAGCCTGGAACTCGCTATACAGATCAGGCTGGCCTTGAACTCAAAGAAATCCAACTGTCTTTACCTGTGAGTACTGACCAAAGGCATGTGTCACCAAGCAAAAATTGTTTTTAAATCTTTTTTTTTTCTCCTCAGAGACAGGGTTTCTCTGTGTAGCAGTCCTGGCTGTCCTGGAATTCTGTAGACTAGGCTGGCCTCGGACTCACAGAGATCCTCCCACCTCTGCCTCCCCGTGCTGGGATTAAAGGTGTGCGCCCTGCTGACCTTGCTTTAGTTTTTAAGAGTGCCACCAAAGTCTCTGATGTTAGGATTTAGCTCACAAATCTATATTCTTTTTAGCTAAGTTACTTGTGAAACTGTCAACATATCACCGCTTTACAGTTTCATATTTTCCTGTGTTCTCAAGACCCCTCATCTGTGTGCATTTTTCTAGCCCCTTTTGAATGCCAGTCTTAATTTTTTTATTTAAGGGCTACTTATTTGCATGTTTATGGGTATTCTGTCTTCGTGTATGTGTATGAAGTGTAGAATCCTTGGGAACTGGAATCACAGTTGTGAGTCACCATGTGGGCACTGAGAATCAAATCAGAGTCCTCTGAAAGAGCAGCAAGTTCTTTTAATCACTAAACCATCTCTCCAGAACTTATTATTATTATTATTATTATTATTTTGGTTTTTCAAAACAGGGTTTCTCTGTATAGCTTTGGAGCCTGTCCTGGAACTCACTTGGTGGACCAGGCTAGCCTCGAACTCAGAGATCCGCCTGCCTCTGCCTCGTAAATGTTGGAATTAAAGGTGTGTGCCACCACCACCTGTCTTTTTTAAACTGCAGTTCAGCCACAAGCTTTATTACTAGGACAAAGTAATCCTCCAAGGGGAACTAACCAGATAAGGCTCCTAGTTGGCATGAGTCTACCTTTTGTCTAACTTAAGCTGCCCCTGTACCACAGCTAGGCACTGTCCCTGCAGACGGGCCACCAAACGTGGAACTCAGTGAGATGGAAAAAGGTCTGTGGGAACAGAAGCCTCCCAGTGGAGCTGACAGGTCAGCTGGGGTCGTCTGAGATAGTCTCCCTGAAGGATCCAAGGTTCTGAATGAAATGCTGGAGACTCTGAGGAGGTCTGACCAGGACAGCGTGCTGGCTGAAGACCTAAAGTAGGTCAAGGGTGAGATGACTATCGTTTGTCTTCCTTCCAGGGTGGGGTAGGGATCTGTCATACCTGTAATGCAGGGGGACCAGGTAGAAGTTGGCTAACTGCACAGCAGGCCAGAGCTATCAAAAGAAAATGTTTACGTCAGTAGGTGCCCGCTAAGTGACACCCAGACTCCCCATCTTGCTGGGCCCCACCCCACAATCTGCACATAAGAAAATGCTGAAGTGGGTGCTTCCCTGGACAAGGTACCCATGTGGGGAAAGAGAGAGCGATCCCTATAGAGGGGCCCAATCCCGGGGCATTTCTGGACTAAAGGAGGGGTAAACTCTTACATAGTAGTTGGTGACGAGGGCATCGGGGTAGTCCTGCAAAGATGGAGGGAATGGTTAACACTCACACATCCAAGCAGCTGCCACACCCTGCACGAATAGCACAGAGACTCTGTTCCAAGAAGAAACTCCTGCCCCAGCTCCCCTAGGCTCGTCTCCTCCCGAGCCCAGCACTCTCCTTGTGCCTGCCTCTCCTTCCCTGGGGCAGCTGGCCACTTACCCGCTGTAGTTTGGCCCAGTTGTCCTGTGCTGACATTCCATTGAGCACCCCTACCAGGGGGAGGAAACAGCCTAAAAAACAGGGGGCAAAGGCCCCCTAGGGAAGAGGGCGCCAGTGAAAGCTGTGAATGCCCACAGCCCTGACCAGGCTCTCCTCCCCACTCCCCTTCCCTCAGCTCACCTGGTCTAACACCATCTTCTTCAGAGCGTCCACCTTGGTGGTGCCGGGGATAAAGCGGTCCAAAACCTTATACCAGCCTCCAACTACAGGGCCCTGAGAGTAAAAGACAGGGCAGCGGGCAGAGTGACAGACCCTTGGCTTTTATATCACCAAGCTCCTCCCCAAGGCAGCAGAAACCAAATCCTGATGAAGGCAGACTCTAAGACAAAAAGAGGGCATGGGCTGGCCTAGGTGTGAGAGGCCAGAGGAAACTAAAGGATGGCAGGGAACCGATTCCACTGCCCAAGGCCCTGCGGTCCCACTGTAAGGATAACTTACCACAAAGCCACAGCCCATGGACACCATGGTCAGAGTTCGGCCTGTCTGGTGTTCCTGGAGACCCCGCCTCTCCACCAGCTGCTGTGAGATAATGTCACCTAGGCCCATCAGTGACCCTGTGCAGGGCACACAGGTGTTGTCAGGACATCTCCCTAAAGGTAAGTCTGTTGACCAAATGAGGCTTGGCACTCTGAGGCCTGGGACTTTGTTCTGGCAAATACCAGCCCCTTCTTGCTGCCTTGACTGAATGGTGACATCTCTCATGTGTCCGATCAAAAACTGGATGAGGAGGGGTAGTGCATGTCTGGCAACTCAGCACTTGGGAGGCGGAGGTAGGAGGACTGCTATGAGTTCGAGGCCAGCCTGGGCTACATAGGGAGTCCCAGGCTAGTCAGGGGTTACACAGTGAGACAACATCTTAAAACAAATAAACCATGAAGGAAGTGGGAGGGGGCAGCAGAGAGAGAGAGGGAAGAGGGAGACAGAAAAACACAGGTGAGCAAGCCAGGATCTATGAACATACAGTAAGGGAACCAGGGCTGAAATCCCAGACAGAGCTGGGCGGTGGTGGCACACGCCTTTAATCCCAGCACTCTGGAGGCAGAGGCAGGCAGATCTCTGTGAGTTCGAGGCTGGGCTGGACCGACAGCCTCCAAAACAATACAGAGAAACCCTGTCTCGTAAAACCAAAAATAAATAAATAAATAAATAAACAAAATAAAAAAAAAGAAATCCCAGACAGAAGGAAAACCCAAGGTCCAGGGCTAAGAACTGTAGAGACCAGAATTGAAAGCCCCTGCCCACAGAACGTTCCATCTAAACTCTTATTTCAGAAGCAAGGAAATGACAGTCCACAATTTTATGTGCTGTTAACAGAGAGCCAGATAACTTGACTCCTATACACGATTTTATGTGCTGTTAGCGGAGAGCCAGATAACTTGACTCCTGTACACTATTTGAGAACCCCAAATGCTAACAGGTTATGAGCAGGAGAATAAGGAATAGCTAGACTTTGGCCGATTTCTTTTGCTTTGGGTTTAGGGGTCTTTATTGGTAGAAAACAGCATGGATAACTATTTCTAAAATATGCTCAAACAGTGCCAGAGAAGCAGTTGACTTGTTTCGATAACAAGAGCCTCCTCCACAAGGAAGCATCCTGGCCATCTATCACACACACCGGAAACCAGCCAGACTCCCCTTTTGCACCAGTGAGTTGGCAACAGGACTCAGGGCCATTTCCCCTCAGACCTCTGCGCCTGCTTCCCCTCCCCTAACTGCATAGACACCCACTCCTAGAAGCCAAGACAGAATTGGAATCATCACTATTTAGGGCCTCCAGCTTGTCATGATGGCGTGATGGTTTCTAACAAACAGTCGCAGGGCCACTTGGGAGTGACCACATGATCTCCAGCTCCCCCATCCATCTCACCGCGTAATGAGAGTCCCCTCTAGATCCGAAGCCACCACTGTCCCCATGCCCTCAATTAGCACTGGGCAAACACACCCTTCAACCCCATTCCTTGGTCTGGCGCTGGCTCTGACGTCCATGCTGGCTGCACACACGGCTCTGCTCTCCCCCCATGCCCTCTCCTTCCTCAGAGCAACCTAGTCAGAGGCGACTGGACAAAGCTAGAGCTGGTGATGGGCAACCCTAGGTGACCTGGGCAGCTGGCCATCGGCGGCTCTTCCTCTTAGCATCTCATCAAGTCCCTACTGCCTCTTTCCCCGAGTCTCCCCCAGTCAGACATGGCCTCCCCAAGGGCAAGGTCAGAGTTCCTGGAGGTTGGGGGGCAGAGTAGAATCCTAGATATGTTTGTTGTCATTCCCCACATCTAACTAAGCCCCTAATAGGTGCTCAGAAGACAGTGAAACAAAAACCTACAGCCCTAAGCAATGAGATTGCTTGGGGGAAGGGCACAAAGAACTCTAGGGTCAACCTGAGTGACAGGCACAAGTGTGAGGAGCCAGGGAACACAGACTGTGCCTGGTCCCAGTCAGCTCCCCCTCCTTTAGCCTCGCCTCCTGCCAGGGCGTGGCCATCGGCTGTGACTATCTTCAGCGCTCTCTCCTGGAAAATGCATAAAGGGACAAATGACCCTAAGAAGGCTGAGAGCACCTGGGGAATGAAGGGACAACAGTCCACTTTGATTAAGATGGTGACAGTTCACAAAGGATTCAGCTCATCCTCACAAACGGTCTGGGAAGTAGGCAGTCATATGTCCGCCTAATTTAGGAGTCTGGGAAAGATGGAGTGACCTAGTAAGGAGTGGAGTTTGGATCAGCTCAAGGCAGGGGAGCAGGGCCACAGCACAGGCAGAGGCAAGCTCAGAGGCCATGGGCTACCTAAGTAAAGCCTAAAGGGCCACACAGCAAAGATGTTTTCTGGGCAGGTCTGATGGCACATGCCTGTAATCTCAGCTCTTGGGAAGCAGAAGCACAAGGATTGCTTCAAGTTCAAAGAGCCTCATCTACATTGTGAGTTCTAGGCCAGACAGGGCTATGTGGTGAGACCTTGTGTCATGCAAAACCAACCAAACAAAACAAAAACAAACATACAAACCAACCAACCAGGAGCTGGAGGGATGGCTCAGTAGTCACTAGCATTTACAGTTCCTGCAGAGAGCCCAGATTTGGTTCCTGGCACTCACATGGCAGTTTACAGCCAGGTCGAACTCCAGTTTCAGGAGATCTACTGGCCTCTTCTGGTCTCTGGGGGCACCAGGCACATACATACACATAGGCACATACACACTTAAGAACACTAAAAAGCAGCCGGGCGTTGGTGGTGCACGCCTTTAATCCCAGCACTCTGTGAGTTCGAGGCCAGCCTGGTCTACAGAGTGAGTTCCAGGACAGCCTCCAAAACAATACAGAGAAACCCTGTCTGGGAAAAACAAAAAACAAAAACAAACAAACAACAACAACAACAAAAAACACTAAAAAGCTTAGTATGTACCCATCATGCACCTCTGTATTATTTCCCAGACTTTTTTTTTTATTTTCACATTAATTGCATAATTTTCTAAGGTGATCTATTAGTTTTATTTACCTAAGCTTATCTGCATGATAGTAAAAATTGCATACAACAAGAGTGAAGCTCCTAGAGTGAACTGCTTGGATAACATAGACTTTTATAGGCAACCGTGTAAAGCACATTTCCCAGACTTCTATCTCCTCTGTTCCTTGTTTCCCATAGGGAAGCAATATTTTTGGAAAATCGAGATGTTCATATTTCCTCTCTTCATGGTTTATCAATAGTCATACAAGCTAAAGGCAGAACTTGAACGAGAACTGATTTCCCAATGTCATGGTTCTGGAAGCTTCCAGCTATTGAAGACTACCTATGGTGCCCTGGTGTCCACAAGAGTAAGTGGAGTCCCCTCTCAAAGGTTTTCTTGTTTGTCTGTAGGGGTGAGTTCCATGGCAAATCGATGACGAGTAGCCCGTATGTATTTGTACTTAAGACTGTCTGATTCCTGGACAGCAGGGGCTTGGGGAAGGACTCCCCGCTTTAGTGTCTGTTACATGGTATATGCTGGCTGTAGTTCCTGATTGCTTGGGGTGCTTTGATAAACCTCCTTTGGGGAAATGGAGGTGACCTGTCCAGACTCTCAGACACCCACAGTATGGCACCTGTTGTTTCCATTGCAGCGCATCGCATGTAAGAGTAGTGGCGGTGAGGCTGGTGCGTGTGAGCACTGCTTGTGTAGCCCCTAGCCCAAATCTTTGAGTCCAGGTCCCAAGCCACAGCCATCAAGCCTGAGGCAAAACAAGGTGACATGCCATCTTCAGAGCAATGAGATGAGGAGGACTCTGGAGGTCCACCCAGGTCTGTTCATTTCTGATGTAACACCATCCTGAAGTTTCTCTTCTGCTTATAAGAGACTGCAGTCGCTGGACCTGCAGCAACTCCAGGATGGCCAAATACTTTGGTGCATGCCAAGAGCAAGGCCTGCATTCCTGGTCCAAGTGAGCCTTCAATAGGAAGGGTTCAAATATCCAAACTTTTTATTCCATTTTCTCCAGCCCAGAACCCAAACCCCTCCAATATCTGGTTAACCAGGATGGCATAATGATCTGCTTCCTCTCTCCTTGGACTTGAGACATAGTGCTCAGAGCCCCGGTGGGGCAGGGTGAGAGGTTGCTGGGCAGTGGTGCTCCAAAGCCAGGCTGGGCACGGAGCCTACTGAGTGGACACTGGCTCTGAGTATGACATCATGCCTCTGAGTAGATGCCAGTTCTCATTCTCACTCCCCACTGGATTCAGGGGTGGGGGAAACGATGCTCGGCTCTAGACACTGGTCTATTTGAAGCCATCCCGGGCCCATCAGTGGAAAAGCCCCAGCTCTCCCAAGGCACAAGAGTCAAATCTCCTGCTTCCCATTGGATCCTACACTTGTTTTTTAAAGAGTCTTAGTACAAGAAGATACAGTGTTAGTGGAAGATGAGGTGCAGATGGGCAGGAAGTAGCTTCTTCCTGAATGAGGGAGCATGCCTAGAGGAGGTGGGGTCTCCAGGTAAAGACATCCCTGGCACAGAGCCAGCGGTGCTGATGAGTAAGGGGACTCCCAGCTGGTGCCCAGGGGAAGCTGAAGCTCTACTGAGAAGGGAAAGCACATTCCCCGGGATGTGTCTGGGCGCTCAGCTCACTACTGTACACAAGTACCCTGCCGAAGAAAAGGAGACAAGACTGACAGTTCTGCAGCTTCTCGTGTCTAAACCCAGCTGGGCTGACACTCAGGTTCCAAGGAAATCAGTGTCTACGGTTTTACTGCTCTGGTGGCCTGCAATAGGTGGCCCCGGGGCCCTGGGCTCTGGGCCCACTGGAGACTGGAAAGGAAGGGTTGAAGCTGACTCAGACTGCAGAATGCACCGTCAACCTTTCCCCAGGCTGCCCTGGTCGTGACTCTGACTTGACTCAAAACACCATGGCACCATGGCGTGTTAGCCACTTCCGCCCAAGCATCGCAGACCTTGATTCACCTGCCTCTTGCTCTCGGCTGGAGTCACAGACAGCTGTGAGCTGCCACGTGGATGCTGGGAATTGAACCTGGGGTCCTCTGCAAGAGCAGCCAGTGCTCTTAACTGCTGAACCATCTCTCCAGCCCCTGGAAGGCTTACTTTCTAACCAGCATCATAGCTTCAGGCTCTGCTGTTGGGAAAACCAAGACTAAGATACTTATCATAAGCTGGGCTTGGTGCAAGCCTACAACCTAGGCAACTGAAAGGCTGAAGTAGATGGACTGATGAGTTCAAGGCTAGCCTGAGCTACACCAATAGTTTAAGGCAAGTCTGGGCTACACAGTGAGGTTCTGATCGAAAATAACCACCCCTGGCATAGTGGCACACCCCTTTAATCTCAGCACTTGGGAGGCAGGTGGATTTCTGTGAGTTCCAGGCCAGCCTGGTCTACACAGTGAGTTACAGGACAGCCAGGGCTACAGAGTGAGACCCTGCCTCAAAATAAATAAATAAATAAACAAACAAGCAAGAAAATAAGTGAAAACAATTAAAAGATACTTTTTCCATGTTTAGATTTAAGGAAAGTGGAACAAATCCAGCCCAAAAGAGGAGCCTGCTGTACATGCCAATAATCATAGGAAGGAAGCCGGACAGTGGTGTCTCATGCCTTTAATCCCAGCACTCAGGAGGCAGAGGCAGGCTAATCTCTGTGAGTTCAAGGCCAGCCTGGTCTACAAAGCGAGTTCCAGGACAGCCTACAGATCTACAGAGAAACCCTGTCTCAAAAATCCAAAAGAAAAAAAAACCATAGGAAGATTAATGTACATTTAAAAAAGTTCCAGTCAATTTCAGGAGAGAACTGATTTCACACATGTAACCCATGTGCGTGCACATGCACAATAAACTATGTAAGAGAAACAATAAAAGGTACAAAAGGATAGGCATATTATCCAGAGAGAGCACTTGCCTAGCATGTGCAAGGCTGTAGCTTCCAACCTTAGTACTGTGAGTAAATAAGTAAATAACACTTCCCTAGCTTCTTCTCAGAGATAATTCCTGTAACTGACCTTTTAAGTCTAATTGAGGAAACTGAGGCCCAAAAAGGTTTATTGACATGGACTAATTAGGCAGCTACTAAGTGCTATGCTCTGAGATTCAGATCTTGGTCTTCTAGTTCCAAGTCTGAAATCTCTGTTCTGTTTCCCAGTGTGAGCTATCCCATGGGATCTCTGGAGGCACTGTGCTCAGAAAACAGTCCAAAATGATAAGGCGAGACAGGCCCATCCCACCCTTTATTAGTAGGTTGCTCCAAATAGCCTGAGCAGCAAGGAAGGAAGACTGAGAGAAATGTTAGGAGGCTGCTTCAGGACCAACTAAGGATGCAGCAGTTTCAGGAGAAATATACATATGAGAGCCTAGCACAGACACCCCAGTTACTCCACAGACACCCCAGACACCCCACAGACACCCCACACACCCCTGTTACCCCACAGACACCCCACACACCCCTGTTACCCCACAGACACCCCACACACCCCTGTTACCCCACAGACACCCCACACACCCCAGTTACTCCACAGACACCCCACACACCCCAGTTACTCCACAGACACCCCAGATACCCCACAGACACACCAGATACAGCACAGACACCCCACACACCCCTGTTACCCCACAGACACCCCACACACCCCTGTTACCCCACAGACACCCCACACACCCCTGTTACCCCACAGGCACACCAGGCACCCCAGTTACCCCACAGACACACCAGTTACCCCACAGACACCCCACACACCCGTTACCCCACAGACACCCCACACACCCCTGTTACCCCACAGACACACCAGTTACCCCACAGACACACCAGGCACCCCTGTTACCCCACAGACACCCCACACACCCCTGTTACCCCACAGACACACCAGGCACCCCAGTTAACCCACAGACACCCCTGTTACCCCACAGACACACCAGTTGCCCCACAGACACCCCAGTTAACCCCACTTCTACACGTGCGTCTCTTGAAGCTTTAGTTTCTGCCTTTGTCATCTATGGATCATTTAGGTAAGGAAACATGACTGCCTTTCCCTCTCCATTCTTGACGGCTGCAAAGGGGGGACCTTCTATCTGGCAGCCGGGGGCCCTGAGGGAATCTGAGGCTGGGCAAAGGGCCCAGCGTGTCAGTTCCCATCACAGCCACTGTCCAGCGTGAGTCACCACACACTCAGCCAGGTGAGTCATGCAGGCCGGACACTCTGAGGACAAGAGGTGGAGGGTGCAGGAAGCTATCGAGGGGCTAGGGGGGAGGTAAGGGGTCCACCTTCTGGCCAGTAGTTCCTAAGGCTCATGTAGGGTTATTCTGCTAATGAGACAAACCACAGTCCTACCCTGCCCTTCAGCCTCGCTCTTCCCTCTCGGAAGCCCACAGCCCTCCTTAGGAGGGGGTTCTTTCTCTAACGATAGGCAAGGAGTGTTTATGACCCGATCCTCCACGGCACTACTGTGACGGCCAGAGAACTGATGGTGTTTCCCTGTCCTGACCCTGTGTACTAGCTAACCAGCAAAATGGAGGTGTGCACCGCTGCTGCTTCAGCACTGGACGTGGAGCCAAAGGCCCCAGTTAGTGCCCTGTCTGGTGACATGGATGTAAAAGGGGCCAAGCTCAGCACAGTGGCCACACAGCCAGCTGCGGCGGCTCACACTTGCAACTTCAGCAGCCAGGAGGCCGAGACGGGACTACTGCAAGTTCAAGGCCAGTCTGGCTACACAGTCAGGTCAGCCTGGGCTAGGGCTCCTGAAATAAAAATGAAGCACAGAAGTGGGGTGTACGAGCTGAGGAGAGGGCCTCAAGTCCTAAGGTTTTAATGTTATTTAAACTTCAGATACACGACTGTTTTGTACACTTCACAATAAAAATACTAAGAAAAATAAACTAGAGTAAGTTACTTCAGCACTTGTTAGGTGTGTGATCTAATATGGACTCAAGTAATCTAACAGACCTTTTGAGGCCCCTATGACACAATGCATGCATATGAGTGTGCTTGGCACACTATGAAATGGGGGAGGAAAACACTTAAATTCTCAAAGTGGGCAGTCTCCTGGGGGCAATGCTTTTAAGAATGGACTACTTAAGCCATTCAGCAGTGGCACACACCTTTGATCCCAGCACTTGGGAGGGAGAGACGAATGGACCTCTAAGGCCAGTCCGGTCTATAGAGTTCCAGGACAGCCAGGGTTACTCAGAGAAACCGTCTTGAGAAACAAGCAAACAAGCAAGCAAAAGGATTACTTAGGTGTGTGAGGACTCTAAGTCTTACTGGGCAGAACTGTGTGTGCATCTCTCTCTCTCTCAGATCTACTGTTATCGCCTTTAATTATTTTAAATTATGTGTGTGGGGTGCACGAGAGTGCAGGTGCCCCAAGTGGCTGAAGGTGACTGATAGATCTCTCTGGAGCTGGAGTTCCAGACAAGGGTGCTGGGCCCTCCAGGAGAGCAAGTATGTGCTGTTAACCTGGCCCATCTCTCTAGCGCCCCAGTGTGTACATCTTAGGAATAGCTTTGGGACCTCGCCTTCCAAAACAGAACAGATCGGGACAAAGTCAGCTCCTTCAGGAGGGCTAAGTAGGAAGAAGTAGTTGCCGTAATGTGGGCCTCTTCCTCCTCAAATCAGCCACTCTAGTCACCCTGGTCCCAGAGAGACACTCACCAGCTGTCAGAACCTGGACTTTCCACGGATGTGCAGCCAGGGCCCTCTGGTATGCCCGCCAGAGTGCCATGCCTCCTGTCAAACCAAGAGGAGAAGTCACTCCCACTGGCCCTCCTCACAGTAAAGAACACGCCTGCCATTTCCTTTGCTCACTCTCTCCACTTTGAAAATCTGCAAGTGACAGAAGCCTCAGAAAGGCTGCTTACTGGGCAGTGTTCTGCCTCATGGTCACTTTAGACAACTGGAGAAGAGACAGTCGCCTAACTTTAGAATTCCCAGAGGCTGCCTCTGCCGCCCCAAACCGGGTCCTAAAGCAAGGCGGCCTGCGGGCCTCCAGAGCTCACGAGGTCAGGCTTACTCTAGCGTCTATCCAGAGTTTAGTTAAGTTGGAACTAAGCTGCATCCAAAGTGCAACTCCACACCGGAAATAAACTACGAGCTGGGTCTGGAAGGTCACATGACTTGCAGGAGCTTACGGCTCACAGCGCTTCAAAACACTGCCAGCCAAGAATCCTCCACTCACCTGAATGCCAGGAATGCGTGGAACCATTTCCCACGTGACCGGCGCTGGCCGAGGGACTTCCGCATCGGGCCCCGCCCCTTCCGCCCGCATGAATCTTGCGGTTTGGACACTGGCGTGTCCAGGGGAAATGTTAGTGCATGGGGCCCTAAATACTTACAGCAATATGACTCAACCGGCCACTTAGTGGGCAGCCTCCTTGTCATTGAGCGCACCAAACACCGGTGGGGTGTGCTTCCCTATACCTGTCTGGTCCCGGGCTCCCAGCCCAGAGGTCCCCACTATCCCAGTCTCCCGGAGCTAGCCCGGTCTGGACTCCCTCGTTTGGAAACTTTAAAGCTGGACTCGGACTTGCTTTTGTGCTTCATACCAAAATGTTAAGCTTTGTATGAAATACTTTTCAACATGCAGACTTCCACGAGATCCAGTGGCATAGCAGAATCTGAGAGCACCCGTGTTAGCTCTCTGTAATCGAGGCTGCCCAGCCTTTGTCATGAGTTTGCAGTGTGCCTACCAGGGTTCCTTATATTCTAGAAACGTGCAAGAGGGGACCCAATTTTTAAAAATGTTTTTTAAAGAGTCATCTTAAGCAAAGAGGCATACACCTGTTTGAAAACCAGTTAGGGAACTAAGTCTCCCAGCTGCAACACCCAAAGCCTTGCAATTACCTTCCCCAGGTATCCATCCGCAAGTCTTGAGAAAGCTAAATTTTCCTGTTCTGCCTAGGCCAGCTCATTCACTCAACTCCTGTATGGCTACTGGAGGGCGAATGCTACTAGCTACTAGAGAATAAGGACTCAATGGAATTCAGATTCCTGTGTAAAGAAAAGGAACTTACACCAGCAGATGTAATGGACCAAATGTGCAGGATTGGAAGTTACGGGTTCAGATCTCAGTGGTAGTTTTTGGTAGTTATGTGACCTTATTCAGATTGCTTAACATACATAAAAGAGTATACCTCACAGAGTTCGACAACATATGTAAGGAACCCAAAACACCCATGCAGCCTTTTCTGAAGCACCGGCCCTGTCCACCCTACCCCTCTTTGGAGAAAGACAAAAAACGTTCCCTACTGAAATTTGATCGCTTTTGTTTTGTTCTGAGGGGAGGGGGTATGGGGTATACAAGGAAGGGCTTGTACATGCTAAGCACATGCTCTTCCACTGAGCTACAACCCCAGCCCTGAGATAGCATCTTGAAGGATGACCAGGATTTAGGTGATGCGGGCAACAAACTAAGGCACAACGGAAGAACAGGAATCAATGGGGTTAGGTGGATGGGTACACTGGGAAGGAAGAAAACTGAGGAAAGGTCCAAGGGAAAGGGAAAAGAACAGAGCAGAAAACATCGCCTGCATTTTTTTCTGAGTTCAAGATGAGGGCTGACTCAATACCAGGAGCAGGGCTGCTGGCACCAGCCTACAACCTCAGCCTTTAATCCCCAGGCCCCACATCCTCTCCCACTGGAAGTAGGGGAACACGGATGTGCTGTGTCAAGGGGTTGCTCTGCAGGACGAGCCAAGCTTCTCTGCAATGGAAGGCACTTCTTTATTAGTTCAGAAAGCAAGCCTGACGCAGCCCGAGCTGGGTCACAACAGAGTGGTACAACACTTGGCTCCTTCCCACCAGCGTGCATTGTGCTCCTTCTGCCGCTTAAGGACCTGAGTTCCCTACAGGTCTGCTCCCTCTTCTGTACAGCAAGGGACTGAACTACTTGGTTCTCTTCCGAAAGATTTGGCATTTGACAAATCTTCTATACTACTCAGGCAGAAAGCTGTTCCCAGACATGACAGACCAATCTTGAGTGCTCTAAAGTCTAGGTTTTGTTTCAGGTAACACTAATCTAGAATGCATCTCTTTCAAGAGGAAGCAGGAGCCCTGTTTGTTTCCTATTTCCTAAGATGATCTAACTACTTCCTTCCAAACCTCAGCCTGCACCCTACATGTCCCATGGCTGTGGTCTGGAGATTTCACATCACTGGGGCTGCCTGTGCTTCCGAGGCAGTATGTATCAGTCATGTGAGGTGCAGCTACCCACAAGAGGACTCTATCCAGATGACAATACATTATTGGGTTCTAAATACTTTGTATACAGAGTTTAAACATGTTTAATATGTCAACAATGTGACCATATCATGAAGATCAAAAATCATGACTTGTAAAAGAATGATTGAAATAACTAAAGATATTTAATCTAGAGAAAAAAATGGCTAGGAAACACATGATAGCTACTGTTAAGTACTGAAAAGGGCACTCACAGGGAAGAATGACTACATCTCCTAACACCCATTAGTAAAATTAATAGAGGTATAATCTTGACTTGATAGAAAGGAAGATTTTTTTTCTTACTTTTTGGTTTTATGAGATGGCCCAGACTGAACGCAAAATTGTGATCCTCCTGCCTCGGCCTCCCAAGTGCTGGCATTACGGGTGTGCACCATTATACCCAGCTTCAAAAATTTTTTAAAAAACACTACTATCTAAGAGTGTTCAAGTAGTGTCAAGTGACCAATGATTGGGAATATTTCATAAGCAGGAGCCATTAAGAGCTGGCCGCTGTTCTACTGGTAGAAAGTTTATGGTGTTCCTCAGTTAAAATATTACGAGCAGCTTCAGTCCAATAAATTACTGTCACCCCCACTGGGCCTGTGTGTTGGTTATTCTAAAGAGGAAGAACAGAAGGCAGTAACATCAAGTCCTGGAAATGGACAGGAGCCTTCATGAAGATATCCTTTCCGACTCTCCAAACACCCACTCACAAGTGGTCTCAAAAACACCCAGTACCTTTACTTAGCTTTACCTCCTTCACAATATGCTCAATATGAGCAATTTGACTCCCAAGCCTAGGTCAGGCCTGAGTGTTTCTTGTGAGCCATGGTTTTAGGCATAGGAATTGTTGTGGAGGGGGAGCCCCCCTACCTGCAGGGAGCTGTGACCATAGAAGTCTGTGAAAGGAGAGGGATTAAGGAGCTCTGGGCAGACAGGTCTAAAGATTTAGGCACCATCACTGTCCGGGAAGGGCCCAGGTCCTATGCTTTGTGCATGGGGCCATTTGTTCTTGTCAGACTTCAATCCAAGAGCTCTGTGTGGACCAGACTAGGGATTGGGGGAAAGGCAATGGCTAGCTGGAGAGAAACCAGGCCCTTCAGTTGAAAAGGAGGTTTGGAACATAGCATTGAAGTGGGCTCGGCTTTCAAGCTGCACACGGTGGGCCAGCGGGGAGGTGAGTCCACGAACAAAATGGATCCGAACCAGCCCTGACTGCCCCCCAGATACCAGCCATCCATAGGAGTCCAGGTTTGGGCTGAAACGTACCTGTGGAGAGAACAGAAAACCAAAAAGAGCCTCAGGGATTGTCTTAGCCATGTGAGCTTTAAAAACAGGTCATTACACCTTTAGCTCCAGTACCCAGAAGGCAGAGGCAGATGTATATCTATATCTCTGTGAGTTTGAGGTCAACCCAGGACAGCCAGGGATACATAGAGACACCCTATCTCAAAAACACCCAAACCCAACCAACCAAATAAATGAAAAAACAAGTCACCATCAGGAGGACTGGACCACAAGAGACAGTCAGTGAATGGGCCCTTTATCATGACCCAGGAGAAGTTGTCAAGGCTGCTTCTCCTCTAGCCATCTCTGCTGCCATTTAGTCTCACATTTTACTGATCGCAGGCACAGAGGGTCTGAAAGTTGTAAGAAAGGCTCTCACCTTGTGAATAGCTTCAAGCTGCAGCCTGTCCAGGCAAAGCTGAGAGTGTCCCTCTCCTTCCTGCATGCGTAACATCGGCTCTCTACGGAGCAGGTTGTGGAAGGAACTCTGGGGAACAGAAGTGGAATTCCTTAGCATCTCCTGGAATCTACCTTTTCTAATGCCACCCCCCCCCACTAGGAGCCACAACTTACCAGATCTGTATCTTGAAAGAGTAAGTAGTGGTGATTGATGGTCTCAGTGTAAGTTCTCGCTTTGGGAGGATTGGGGGTCTCAGAGGAGGTCGAGGAATCTTGGTCTTCAGGGCTGTCCTGGTAAGCTATCAGATCTGCTTTATATATGGGCTAGGAGAAGACACAGGATTAGTGTCATATCTTTTTTTTTTTGGTTTTTATGAGACAGGGTTTCTCTGTATTGTTTTGGAGGCTGTCGGTCCAGCCCGGCCTCGAACTCACAGAGATCCACCTGCCTCTGCCTCCCAAGTGCTGGGATTAAAGGCGTGTGCCACCACCACCTGGCTATATCTTTATTTTTTAAATAAAAGTTCAGAGAACAACTTTTGGGCTTCAATTCTTTCTTCTATCCTGTGGTCCGAAGGACTGACACCTCAGTTCACAGAGGCTTAGCAGCCAGTGTTTATATACTGAGCCATCTCTCTAGCCTAAGGTAGACTGGTTTTTCCCTTTTGGTTTTTTGTTGTTGTTGTTTGAGGAAGGGTTTCTCTGTATAGCCCTAGCTATCCTGGAACTCACTATGTAGACCAGGCTGGCCTCAGAACTCACTAAGATCCACCTGCCTCTGCCTCCCAAGTGCTGGGATTAAAGGTGTGTACCACCACCTGAGACTAGACTTTAAAACACTCAACACAAAAGCAGAAAGTAAACTGATTTACTGTGGCAAAGTCTCAAGAGTGTATAAAAATACACTCAAAGCCAGTATGTAGTGGTGCATGCCTTTAATCTCAGCACTTGGGAGGTAGAGGCAGGCGGATCTCTGTGAGTTTGAGGCTAGCCTGGTCTACAGAGTGAGTTCCAGGACAGCCAGGACTGTCACACAGAGAAACTGTGTCTTGAAAACAAACAAACCACTAGGGCTAGTACGGTGGCTATGAGGAAAGCTCTGGCTGCTAACCCTGGTAACTTGAGTTTAATCTCCAGGGTCTAAATGGTGGAGGGAGAAATGGCTCTCAAAAGTTGTCCTCTGGTCACACATAAACCGTGACATGTACACCATGTCCCATACACATACAGAATAATATAATGATAGCAACAACTTTTTTTAGAAAAGCATGCTCAGCTCCAGTAGGGCAGAGAATATATCTAATTCCTTGCTACAAGGACACTATCAGAGTTTGGAGACCAAGCACTAGTTTGCATTCTACCAAGAGTTGACAAGGCAAGTAGATTATGACCTAATAGATAGATGTTTATATACTTACAAATCTTCTTTCTGCAGGTTTCTTGACATTAATTGGGTTTGATGCCATATCAGGTAAAATAGCTGCAATGAGCTCCCCGGATATGTCTCCTGCAGCTACTGTCCCAAGCCAGTCTGAACCTGAAAGACTCTAATAGGAAGAGACATATTTATTTCACCCATCCACTCAGTCATTCCTGTGATAGCGACTATACAGTCTGAGGTTGAGGATAAAGAAATAACTCATGTCCTTAATGATGATCACATACTGTTCCTCCTTATGCCCTGACTACTAAAGCAAGCAAATAAGCATCTCTTGCATACTGAAGCTTGGGGAAGCAGAGGCTCACCCAGACGGTGCCTTTTCTCGGAGCAGTAAAGTAGGCCTTAAAACCAAGATAACCAGCATCGATGTAATGAATTCCACAGAGCCCGTAACTATAAGAGAAAGAGATAAAATGAACTGTACTTCTTCTAAGAGCAAGTTCTTTTCTTACAGAATTAAAATAACCCAGAACCCAACCCTCCTTTCCCCAGTTTGTGCCCCAACCCTTAGGGCCTGTCCCCAGAACTCATATCTTCATCTTGCCGTACGAGGCATAGCAGTTGTCCTGGGCCACCGTGACACCGTTGTAGGGAAGCAGCCAGGAAAGCTCTGTACTCAAGAAGCGCTTGATACAGTTTATTGGCTCATAAGGTCGCCGAAGATCCCAGAATTTGATTTTCCGGTCACTCCCCGCAGAAACCAGGAAATGACTGAAAAGACGGGAGACCAAATCAGAGCCAGTAGGGAAGAGTCAGCCTGCTGCAGCCTCCCCCACAGCCCCTCATCGAGTACCTGTTAGCTTTGCACCACTGAATTGTACGAACAGCCTGGTCGTGGGCTAGGAAACACTGGAAGGGGTACAGCTTTAAAGAACCATCAGAGAGACGTATCCGTTGGAGGGGTGAATTAGTAGGAAGATTCCAGAAAACCACCATGCCTAAAGTAGAGATAGAATATGTAGGCATTAAAGCAGTGGTTCTCAACCTGTGGGTCACAACACCTTTGAAAAACTTCTATCTAGGGCAGGACATTGGTGGAGCACGCCTTTAATCCCAGCACTCAGGAGGCAGAGGCAGGCGGATCTCTGTGAGTTTGATGCCAACCTGTTCTACAAAGTGAGTGCTGGGATAGGCTCCAAAGCTACACAGAGAAACCCTGTCTCAAAAAACCAAAAAGAAAAGAAAGAAAAACCTCTATCTCTAAAAATATTTTCATTATGATTCATAACTGTAGCAAAACTACAGTCATGAAGTAATGACAAAATAATTTTATGTTTGGGGGTCAACACGAGGAACTGTGTTTAAAGGTTGCAGCATTAGAAAGGTTGAGAACCATTGCATTAAAGGAAGGCTTTTGATTCCATTTTCTCATTTCTTTCTTTGGGACCCAGACTTTTTCTCCTGCTCTCAAATTCAAACTACAGTCAAAGAGTAGGGATGTTGATGACCACTGAGCTCTCCCTCCCAGTTCAACTACCCAACATGACATCAACCAGAAGCGACAGCTTAGTTCTGGGCGTGCATCTGAAGTTCCAGTTTGAGTGTATCTGACAGCTGCTAACTACAAGTAAAGAGACTTTTAAACTTTTTATTATGTGTATTTGTCTGTGTGTGGGTGTGCGTCTATGTGAGTGCATGGATGCCAGAAGGGGGCTTTGGATCTCCTAGAGCAGGATTTGCAGGTGGCTCTGAGCTGCTTGATGTGAGTGCAGGAACTGAATTCAAGTAAGAGCAGCACATGCTGAGTCACTTCTTGGGCCTCAGAGTAAGAGTTTTAAAAGTGCACATCTGCTGATACTGGCACATGCTTATAATCTCCGCATGCGGGCTGAAGCAGGACAATCTGCCTGGGACACACATAAAACCCTATCTCAACCAAACAAACCAAAAGCCCTTTAGAATAGCAATTGGCAAACTATAACCAACAGACCCAACAGATTCAGGGTTGCCTTTTTGTTTTGGCACTAGGGACTAAACTTGCCTCATGCACACCAGGAAAGTACTTCATCTCATGGGGATGGAGTTACACCCCCAGTGTCACACTCTTTTGAGACAGCATCGTAGTATCCAGCCTAGGTTGGCCTCACACTACACTCACAGCATGCTGTCTCCGCCTCCTATGTGTTGGGACAGTAGTTATCAGCCTCAATGCTTGGCTTAGGCTGCCTGCTTTGGTAAGTTATACCGAAACACTGCCACATCTATTCCATGTGCACGCCTAGTGCCCAGAAGAGGGCTTTGGATCCCCTGAAATTGGAGTTACAGATAGTTGTGAGCTACGAGGTAGGTGCTGGAAACCAAACCCAGGGCCTCTGTAAGAGCAGCAAATGCATAGAACTGCTGAGCTGTCTCTCTAGCCAAGCTTGAATATTTTCAACTATAATATGTCATTCTTAACCAAAAAAAAAAAAAAAAAAACCAACACAAATCCATGCACATATAAAAAGCTTAAAGTGCAATTGTCTTGGTTTTTACCATTATAATATCCTGCAGCCAGGTGGTGATGGGGCCTGGTAGGCATCCAAGCCAGGCTAAGGCACTGACCACACTCAGAAGGGTCTGATGCTTGCACAGACCCTACCTGAAGGGTTGCCAAACACTGTACCTGTAAGAGTAAAAGAGATAAGATTACAATTAGGGGTTCCTACTGCTTGAAATAAGACTAATCAGATTTATTTTATGTGTCTAAGTGGCCTCTGTGTGTATGTGTGTGTCTCATGCCCAAGGAAGTCAGAAGAGGCGGGGTCAGATCTCCTAGAACCAGAGTTATGGTTGGTTGTGAGCCATCATGCAGGTGTTAGGAATCAAACCCAAGTTGTCTCCGGCCCCCTCAAATCAGTTGTTTTTTTGCAAACAGAGTCTCTGTGTAGCCTTGGCTGTCCTGGAACTCGCTCTGTAGACCAGGCTGGCCTCAAACTCACAGAGATCCGCCTGCCTCTGCCTTCCGAGTGCTGGGATTAAAGGTGTGCGTCACCACCTCCTGGCTTCAAATCAGTTCTTAATCCAGAAGGGGATACTTTTCACAAGTGAAAGAGTCACTGTAGAATCTGTAAAATAAGGCTCTAGGAAGATGAAGCCTCTAAGACAACAGGTTTCCCACTCACCTTGTAGATGGCAGGTTTCATAGCATCTGTGAGGGAAGAAGAACAAACAGCTGGAGATTTGGATCCACAGGGCTGAGCTCCTACGCAGGCCTTGCTTTGAGATCAGGGTCTCAGGCCCAGGCAATGCCCTTCCTTCATTCTCTCACGATCTCCACCTGCCCCCTTCTTCCCCAACACTAGCTTTCCTTCTGTGAGAACCACTAACTCCTCTACATGGTCTTCTCTTCTTTGCTGTTTCTAGAATTCTGCTCATTTGCTCAGTTCCCCCCCCCATTAACCACTTGCACTTTCCTTACAGACTTGTTTCTACATTTCTCTCTTTTTCCTTATATAAAAACCCAGTTCTCTCTCCCTCCCACGCCCCCCACCGACACCCCCATTTCATCCCCCATCCACTTCCATGAGGGATTGTTAAGTCATTTGGAGCAGTGCCTAGGCCCTCCCCTGTATATCTAGGCTAAGAGAGTGTCCTTCCATGGGGAATGGCCCCCCCGAAGTCTATTTGTGCACTAGAGATACATTCGCCGGTTGTGGTGTTCCTACATTTCTATGTAAACATGCTTTACTATCTCCTCTTCAAGGGTTAATTAAGTAGATAAAGTCAGGTGTAGTGGTGTAGACCTATAATCTCTGAACATGGGAAGCAGAAGAAGTAGGAACAGAAGTTCAAAGTCATCCTCAGCTACATGGTAAGTTCAAGGCCAGGCTGGCTACATGAGACTCTGCTTCAAAACACAAACTAACCCCGCTTTGGCCCATATTCACCCAGCCACCATCCTCATTTATTTGCCTTCCTTTACATTTAAACCTTTCAGACAGGTCTCTACAGAGCCTTGGCTGGCCTGGAACTCAATTTGTAGACCACGCTGGCCTTGAACTCACAGAGACCCACCTGACTGCCTCCCAAGTCCCCTGTTATCTCCAAACTTTCTCAAGAAATTATCTATGAGGCTTTCCCAATCTTTAAGAATAGCTAAGAATGTGGCTCAACACGAAATAGTATTACCAGAGTTCTCATTTTTCTTGGTAATTGAACTATGGAAATGAACTTTGTAGATGATATCATATCACAAGGCTGGACATGCCTGATTTCCTATTTCCGCCTCAAACTATTCCTCCATCAGACGACAAAACACAAAGCATCCTAGGGCTTAAACCCATATACTCTCTTAAATACTCAGCACTGTTGGGGGAAAAAAAAGGATCTGCCTTTCTTGACTCTCCTAAAAGATACTGTCTAGCCGGGCGGTGGTGGCGCACGCCTTTAATCCCAGGATCTCTGTGAGTTTGAGGCCGGGGCTGGACCGATAGCCTCTGAAACAATACAGAGAAACCCTGTCTCATAAAAACCAAAAAAAAAAAAAAAAAAAAAAAAAAAAGATACTGTCTAAACATGGGTTAGAGGCCCTGAGACCAGCACTAGGGGAAAACATAGGACAGAGGAGGTGAGTCCCACTTGTCAGCCTCACCCCTTAGCAATTCTTTGCATGGTCAACTTATGGGTTCACAGAGTATGGAAGAGGGAGAAGTGACTGGTAAACGCTGAGAGGGCACAGCTAGTCTGGAAAAGAATGAACAACTGGAGTCATAGTACCGTCATAAAAGCCTGACTGACTACGTTTTCATGCTTGAGACTGTACTGAGTCACGGGAGGCAGACAGGCTGGAGAGCTCTGGCTACCACCACTGCAGCTGTGCGACTTGCCTGGAGGCTGCTGAGCCAGGAGGGCCTCAGGATGCGGTAGACTGAACAGCAGTACCTTCCCATCCGAGCAGGCCAGGGCCAAGAGACCCAGGCGAGGCAGGAGAGGAGCCTATGGGATGAGAGCAGATCTGTGCTGAGGCTTGCTACTTTCAGGTGCCTCTCAGAAAACCCGAGGCTCTGTCCCTTAGATCACCACACAGACTGCTGGAAAACACCACCCACCACATTCTAACCTTCCTTCCTCCAACTCTAAGAACTCCCTCCCAGAGCTAGGCCACTGTCAACTACAAGTACCTTCCGAGGGGTTTCTGGATGTTCCCATGCCCCACTGGGGCAGAACTTGAGATCCCAGATACAGCCACTGTCACAGGCAATCCCATAGACAAAGTGGGCCCTGTTGCCAGGACTGGAGAGAGAAACATGGGAAATAGTAGGTAGGAAGAGCCTAGGACTCACAGAGCTCCACTTCCTCGTCTTGTCTCAGCCCAATGCAAGCCCTTCCCCAGCCGTGTTTCTCCCTCACCCACTGCCTGTCTGGGGCAGTGTCCCAGCCCCACCTCACCAGCTTTCTTGCTGCAATGTTCCAAGGCCCCAGAGCTGCAGCAGCCCAGGGCCTGAATGAAGCTGGCTCAGTGGGTGTGTCTCATTCATGTCTGGGCTGGAGAAAAGGGCCACATACTGTGAGGCTGCCGATCCTTCAGGCACCGGGCACCAGTCCAGAGCCCAGAGTGGTCCTCCTGTGAAGAAGGACACATCCCAGCGCTCTGGATGTGCTGTGATGGAGCTAAATCTAGAGAAAAGTTAGAGAGTAAAGACATATTAGGGAATTTAAGGACAAAATGCAAAGTCCCACTGCAACAGGTATGATCCGCTTATGTGAGACTCCAAAAAAAAAATCAATCTGTGATTGGAGCAAGACTCTGCCACAGCTCCCAACTCCCTCCTTTCCCTCTCAGAAAGGAACTCCAGCTCATCTTCAAAGATGAGGTTGTTTGTTCATGCTAAATGCATGTCACCTTGTGAACTGGCCTGCCCAAGGCTCCCAAACTTTTCTCAGCCCAGCACGCAGAGAAAGTTAACACTGTACATTGGAGAGGACTAGCCCGCTACAGCTGGACTCTAACCTCAGAACTCAGGAGAGGACAGGACTAATCCACTATCTCTTACAACATTCGTTCTCCCTATTCTCTCTTGGAGAATCAGACAAAAAAGCACGTGACTATGTTTACCTGTTTATTCTGTAGATCGTGCCGTCCTCAGGAATCCCCTCACGGTGTACTGAGAACAGGGGAGACTTCTCCTCCTGGGGCAGGTAGGGAGCTGCTTCACTGTGGGAAGCAAAAACATCAGCTTGAGCTCAGAAGACTTTCACTCCCATGTATACCTAACAATTCTTTGTCACTTGTCTGTCCTCTCCTTCAAGGCCTCTGTAGTGGTTAATACTGTCAACTTGACAGGACCTAGAATCACTCATTAGTCAAGCCTGTGGGCACACCTGTGAAGGATGGCCTCTGGGTAAGTTTGTAAGCCATTTTCGTTAGTAGGCTGATGGAAATGGGACAATTCTTCCTCAAAGCCCACAGGCTTGGACTCTGAACTACAGAAAACAGAAGCTAGCTGAGCACTGGTACCCACTGGTCTCGCCCCCCAGCTGCAGATAAAGAGCGACCAGCTGCCTCAGCACTCTGCCAGGACGCCCCCGCATGACGCACTGGTGCCTTGACTGTGAGCCAAAACAAACGCGCTCTCTCTCCTTACAGTTGCTTTTGTTGGGGTGACCCAGCACAGCAACACAAAGTAACACAGCTTCAGAGATGTCAACCCAACTTACAGTTCCGTTAACAGCTGCCACTTCCAGGCTACTGGGATCCATTCAGCAAACTCCCAGAATGAATGCTGCTGTTCTCGGCTAGAGAGACAGAAGCATCATCAATGGGCACAGAGAGACTCCACAAAGCACTGTCTTAAGACCATGTTCTGTGAGGGTGGGAGTGACCAGCACTTGAAATATGGTCAAGAACTAGAGATGTTGCCCTTAACAGAGTCTCTCAGTAATAAGAGACACCACCACATTCCACACACAAGCAAGGGAGGCTCTCTTTCTACATGGTCTTGTAGTCCTCCTCCATCCCCTTGCCCTCAGTCCCTGTCCCCATATCTCACAGGTCCTTGGTGAGGTGCAGGCACTTCCAAACAGGAGCCATGATGTAATTGGGTAAGCCATTGGGAGCCATGCCCCGGCAGTGTGGTTTCTGCTTCTGAGGATCAAATTAAAGAAAACATACACATTTTAGATTAGAGAACACCCCAGTAGATAGCTTTCTTTCTTGGTTAGTAACTTTCCTTGGTGTTTACATATCCCCCTAACTCCCCTCTCAGCATCTAAGAAGATGTGCTCCAATGACTGACTCCACCTATCAAGCAGTCTCTGGTCAGCTTTCTCCAGTCTCAACGACATTTGCTTCAGACGATTCTCATATACTTCCTGCAACTCTTGCCCTGTGGGACAGTGCTACCGATTCCTCCCACATCCAGTACTCCTTTAAATACCCTCCCTCTCTTTATACATACAGTCCTGCAGTCTCACCCATATTCCAGAGATGACTATCACCCAATTACAAAGCTCACAGCATTATAAACTTGGCTCCATCACAACATTTCTATAAGCTGTAGGTCTAGAGCCATATTAAGGACTAAGGCAAAAAAAGAAAAATCAAAAATAGATAGATAGATAGATAGATAGATAGATAGATAGATAGATAGATAGATCTCTAGTACAGTGGCTCATGACTGTAACCCCAGCATTTGGGAGAAGAAAGAGATCCAATTTAAAAAAATACAGTAGAGAATGATAGAGGGAGACATTCAAGATCTACCTCTAGCCTTCACACCATAGCACACATTGCTACAGGCATGCACATACACACATGGGCAAGTACACGTGTGCCTACCTAACAAGCTCCTGTCCATGCTGGCCGTGGTGGTGCACACCTGTAATGCTAGTACTAAGACAACTGCAGCAAGGGGGTCAAGTCTGAGACTAGTCTGAACTAAACAGTCAAAGACCAGCTTAAGCTATGTCTAAGAAAGCACCTCAAGTGTGTACAAAATTAGTTTTTAGGACTGGCAGGATGGCTCAGCAGACTAAGTGCTTGTTACCAAGTCTGATGACCTGAGTTGGATCCCTAGAACCCACAATGATAGAAATAACAGATTCCCCTGAGTTGGCTACTGACTTCCATACTCACTCTGTAGCATTCAAGTACCCACACACTATTTGGACAATATTCTGTATGTATGTATAAAATCTATTATATACACACAGACATATATACACTTTATCTTGATTACTGAAGGTCTCACGCTCCTTAAATGTGCACTCAGGGCAAGTGAAGCCCTGACCCACACACTAGAGACCAGACAGTTATAGTAGGGGCTTGCTCATGGCCCACACACTAGAGACCAGACAGTTATAGTGGGGGCTTGCTCATGGCTCACAGGCACCTCCCACCCCACCCATCAGCAGTTCAACATGTCCTTGACACCTACTTTGCATGCTGTCCCACAGCTGGAATTCACCCGTTCCTCTCCTTTCTTTCATTCCCTAATGGGTTCTCACCTCTGCTTTCTCCATTGGTTGATTTAGGGCCCTGCAACCTTTCATCTAGATAACTGAAAGCTGTCCTCCAGATGTCAACTGCAGCTTGTCCTAGTGGTTTTTTTTTTTAATACTTAAAAAGATTCTGTAAACCGGGTGTTGGTGGCGCACGCCTTTAATCCCAGCACTGGGGAGGCAGAGGCAGGCGGATCTCTGTGAGTTCAAGGTCAGTATGGTCTACAAGAGTGAGTTCCAGGCCAGCCTTCAAAGCCACAGAGAAACCCTGTCTTGAACTACCCCCCTCCCAAAAGAAGAAAAGGAAGGGGCTGGAGAGATGGCTCAGAGGTTAAGAGCACTGACTGTTCTTCCAGAGGTCCTGAGTTCAATTCCCGGCAACCACATGGTGGCTCACAACCACCTTGAATGAGATCTGGTGCCCTCCACTGGCATGCAGGCAGAAGGCTGTATACACAATAAATAAATAAAAATATTTAAAAAAAAAAAGAAGAAGAAGAAGAAAAGGAAAAAATTCTACAGTTCTAGCTGGAAATGTTAAGAACAGTTTTGGGAATTGTCAGGCCTGGTGGCACAGGCTGTTAATCCTAACTGCTCAAGAGGCTGAGGCAGAAAGATTGCAAATTCAAGGCCTGCCTGGTACAGAGTAAGTTTAGAGCCACTCTAGGAAACTGAGTGAAACCATGTCTCAAAATGTAAAATGGAAAAGCGAAAGACAAGAAAAAAAGAGCTGGTACATGGGTCAGGAAGAGCACTTGCCTACTGTGCACGAGGATTTGGGTTCGGTCCTCAGTGCCACGGAAAAAAAGAAGAAAGTTCTGAGAAAGCCACACAATTGTACATTTTTAAATAACAAGTTTATGTTATGTATATTTATCACAGTCAAAAGCTAAGCAAAACTGGGGCTGGAGAGATGGCTCAGCGGTTAAGAGCATAGATTGCTCTTCCAGAGGATTCAGTTCAATTCCCAGCAACCACATGGCAGCTCACGCCTGTCTGTAACTCCAGTTTCGGGGGACACAATACCCATAGCTAAACACCAGTCTACACAAAACAAAAAAGCAGCATGTGCTGGCGCCTACCAATTTAAGTCCTTTCACCTTCCACCCTCTCTACCAATCTCTCCCTGCTCTCCCGCTGCAATCACCTTCTGGGGAAACACAGCCTTGGAAACCTGTTCTTGCCCTTCAAGGCCCAGCTCAAGCGACATTCCTCTGTGAAATCTGAGCAGCTAGTCCCCCTCTCCCATGTCTAAGTCATTGTAGCATTCAGTAGAGGCAGGATCCTAGTAAAAATACTCTGGAGAGAACCATCTTATTCACTGTGTCCCCCTGTCCCTCCCCACTATAGACTCCCCAATACATCAGAGTTTTGAAGTTTTCCCCTTTTTTGGTACTAGTTTTTGCTATGAGACATCAGAGTCATCCTCTGGGTACTCAGACGCTCCTAAAATTCCCACTTTCCCACCCTTTTTTGTCTAGTCTAGTTACCCCTGCAGAGGGTCCTCGTGGGGTGCTTCGGGGTGCAACAGGCTCAGGATCAGATGAGTTCTCACTGGGGGCTTCACTCTCTTCCTCATCTTCACCCTCCACCTGAAGAACGAAGTCTTCGTCCCGAGCGCTACCATCTTCGTCACCCTGAGAGGCTGCTTGTCGGGTCTTCTTGGGCTTGGTGGGACTGCTCACCTTGGGACTCTTAGGGCCTGACAGTGGAGCAGGCAGGGCTGTTGAGAGCTCTTCAGCCAGTTCCTGAAGGTACAGAAGTGCCCTGTGGGACAGGGTAGAGTCAGAGCCATGCTCACAAGCACTCAGCAGAGCCCACACTTCCAGACTTTATTATCCCAGTAATGCTGTGAAGCAGCTGCCAATTTCCCCTTCCCTCTAATAGATGCAGAAACAGAAATCCAGGAAAATTAAGTGACTTGGCATAGGCAAGCCAGACACCAAGGAATCTGAGTCTAGGTTTTCTAATTCTAGGCCAACTCACTCTTGAGTCCCCCACATAGAACGTAAAGGGCAGGGAAAGAAGCAAAGGCACATAACACTGAAATATATCGAGTGGTAAAAGCAATGAAGACCTGGGGGAAGTCTGTGAAAAATGTGATGGAGAGCCAGGTGTGGTGGCGCACGCCTGCAATCCCAGCACTCGGGAGGCTGAGGTGGGAGGATCGCAAGTTCGAGGCCAACCTGGGTTAGGCAGCGACACCCTGTCTCAAAACAAAAACAAAACAAACAAAAATGTGATGGAGTATGAGGTACAGAAAGAAATCACTTAGATACAAAAGTTAGCAACACATACCACAAAAGTGGCTTTAAGAGCCAAAGGGTTGCCCCACCCAGAACCCAGACACCACCCTACTTACCTGATGCCTCACCAGTCTTCCCATCTCTCCAACCTCTGCCCCACCTTCCCCCTCCTTCCGCCACCACCCCTCCACCAGGCTGTGCCCCACAATCCTTACACTTGGGCAGCCCTTCGGCGGGGTCGTTCCCCAGAAGGGGTCTCAAAGTCCTCAGGGGGTCTCTTTGGATGTGGAGACTCTGGCTGATCTAGGCCTTTGGACAACTTGAGAAGTAGCAGGTCTCCCTTGGACTTTTGACTTCGTTTCTTAGGCATAGGGGTAGACAGAGGGTTGGACTGATCTAAGAGACCAGGAACCAGAGGGGTGGATGGAGGTTTACGTTGCTGAGGCCTTTTAGGGCCTCTTGGTGTCCTACCACCTCTCTTCCCGGAAGGCTTTGAGGCCCTAGGGTTTGAGACCTTTGACATCTCTGAAGAAAGATCTGTGGAGAAGAACATGGCCTGTGAGATGGGCTTGGGGTAAAGTTCCTTCAAGTGCAGTACACAGTACCCAACTTTGTCAGAACCCACGAGTTCAACATGCTGTCTCTTTCATCCTAATCTAAGCGTGGAGAGACAAGAAGAGCCAGGGCAAGGCACATACCTTGCTGCTCCAACCTGGTGAGGCTCTCCTGCTCTGGAGAAAGCCTCCTCTTGTCAGAAGAACCCTCAAATCCAGGCAAAGGAGTGGGTAGTGACATCTCGATGGAAGTCTCCACACTGGATGTTTCTGAAGAGGCCTTGACATCCAGCTGGTTTAGTTCTTCTTGTTCAGGAGAGTCTACCACAATCATGTTCCCCACGGGGTCGGCCTCCCCCAGGGCAACATAGCCGACCCCGCAGGTATCCATCAGCACCCCCCAAAATGGCTGCCCTGCATACAGAGATATAGCAATGAGTGGAACACAGAAGCTATATGTAAAGGCTCAGAGTTTTCTCTTTCCCCCTTCACCGCACAACCAGAAACCCAAGCATACTGATCACTGTCATTCATTCATTCATTCATTCAAATAGCTACTGGGGTAGTAAGATGACTTAGTAGGTTAAGATGCTTGCTACCAAGTCTAATGACTTGAATTCAATCCCCCTGATCCACGTGGCATGCCGTAAGGAGAAAACAAACTTCTACAAGCTGTACTGACTTCCACATGCTCACATGTGCCCCCTTATCAAATAAATAAATAAATAAATGCACCCACAACACACAAACTATTATGTCAAGCACTGCTCTAGGAACTAGTAAATGATAAGACATACAAGGAGCTGGACACAGTAGTGCACACCTGCAATACCAGCTCCTGGGAAGCTGAGACAGGAGAGATGCTGTGATTTCGGGACTAGCCTGGGCTACACACAAGTCCCTGTTTCAGAAAAGAAAAAAAACAACAACAACAAAAGACAGGCAAGATGCTACCTTCCTGAGATTTACATTCTATCGTGCAGCAGACAATAAATAAGTAAACAGATAATAAGCTACGTTTATTAACTTGCTTACTATGTGCCAAATAACACTAAATGTTTTGTTACTTAAACCTCATATAGCTTCATAAGAATATAGAAATGAATATACAATTAACTTAGTTCTTACTAAAAAAACTCCAAATAAATCATATTCAGATTTCCCACCACAAGGGAAAAAAGAGACATAAATTATGCATCTCTAGGGAAGAATTGTTAACTTCCTAAAAACAGACTAAACAACAGCTGCCAAACAGGTGTGACGGTGCAGTGCAAAGTCCTAGTTACTATGGAGTCTGGGACTAGTGTGGGGTAGAATACAGCAAGATTCCTAAACATACAGAGTTGCCACACACTATTAAAATTGAGACCAAAATAGGCTATTAAAACTGTTACTATTGCCAGATACTAATAAAACTGAGCAAAAGTAGGCTACCCAGAGTTAACATCCATTTCTGTGAAGTAAAGGAACAGATTTCCTTAAAAATAAGAGTTGTACTGAACTAAGTGGGATGGCACATTTTGAAATCCTAGCACTTGGGAGGTGGAGGCAGTAATTCAAGGCTAGCCTAGGCTATATGAGATCATGTATGACTTAAAACAAGACAAACAAAAAAAAGAAAGAAAGAAAGCAGAGTAAGAGTTTTCTGGAACCTAGCCATCAGTGTTACACTTCAATTGAGGAGAGGGGGTGCAATACAGTTAAAGATCATCCTATCACATTAAGAGAACTTTCTCACATCCAATAGTGGACTAACGTGTCCCGAATCTTTATGAACCCAGAAAAATTAGATATAGAACCACAGCCCAAGAAGACTGGCAGAAGTAAAACACTGATCACAAACCAAAAATTTGAGCAAATACAACTCTGTAAGGGTAGATTTTTGGTCAAGACTATCTGTTTGCCTTTGACAAGGGGTAGAAATAGCTCAAATCCCAGGAGGTAACCCTCCACAGTTTGAGATATAACTAAAAGATAAAGAATTCATCAGCCTCAATGGAAAACATGTGCTCATATAAATTCTAAAAGAAATATACAAGCTAAAGCCCCCACCCCTCTTCTTATAACATGGCAGCAGTAAGTTCTCTAACTCAAGTGGTAAGGATACGGTGCAACCTCATATGCTAAAGATACTGTCTATGGTGCCATTGTTCTTTGGTAAACAGAAGACCTGTAACCCATTCAAAACCCATAAGTAAAAAAGGATCCAATGTGGGACCTATGTACAGACAGGACAGGAAGAAAAAAAAAGTTGAAAAGTACCTTTCAAAAGAACTATTCCAGAAAACAGAAGAAAATTTTCAGCAAACACAAAAACTACAGGATCTAGGAAACAAGAGAAAACAATGGCAAGGTGGTTTAAGTAAACTGGAAGCCACAGGGAAAGGAGTAAGTTAAAAATAAATTCTTAGAAATTAAATCCACAGGAAGAGAAACAGCAAATTAAAACTATACTGCTAAAAAGTGAGGTGAAGGGCAGGTTTGAGAAAAGCCAGACTGCCAAGAGGGAGGAGTTAGTGACAAAAAATGACATACATGGAGGAGAGGTGAGGGGCTAAGAAGTAGTAATTTACCAGCTTTGTTGTTGTTTTTGAGATAGGGTCTCACTCTGTTGCCCAGGCTGGCTTTGAATGGACAGAAATGTGCCTGCCTCTGTTGGAATTAAAGGTGTGTCCCACCATCCCTGGTTTAAGTAATTTATGTTTAAAGAAGGAAGACAAGTGTGATGGCACACAATTGTAATCCCAGCACTTGGGAAGAGATCAGGAGTTCAAAACTGGCCTTTGAAACTTGAGAGGTCTTGCCTCACAAACTAAGAAGAAATGGGAACAGAAAAAACTTCAAAAATTTAGCAGAAGAGGTTTGGGGATATTGGCACATGCCTTTAATCTCTGTGAGTCCAAGGCCAGCCTGGTGTACATCAGGAGTTCTAGGCAAGCCCTGGCTTTAAGCAAAACAAAAAAATTGAATAGAAGAGAGGGAGGAGTAGTGGTTGGCACCTGTAATTCCAGCAGCAGAAGGGAGCAGAGGCAAGAGAATGGAGACTTCCAGACCATCAGGGATACAGCAAGACCCTGTCTCCTCTCACACTCTCCTCCCTCCAAACACTGAAATAAGGAAGACCCCAATTTAGACATCAAGAAGGCTTACTGGGCCGGGTGTTGGTGTCGCATGCCTTTAACCCCAGCACTTGAGAGGCAGAGGCAGGTGGATCTTTGTGAGTTCGAGGCCAGCCTGGTCTACAGAGTTAGTTCAAGGCCAGCTTCCAAACAATACAGAGAAACCTTGTCTTGAAAAAACAAACAAACAAAAGGGGCTTACTGAAAAAAACAAAAAACAAAAGAAGGCTTACTGGATGAGGGAGGTGGAGAGATGGCCCGGAAGTTAGGAGCACTCGCTGCTCTTGCACAGGACCTGGATTTGGTTCTCAGCACCCACATGGTGGCTCACAATCAACCAGAACTCCAGTGGTGCACAGATACACACAAAAGCAAAACATCCCCCCACACAAATAAATAAATAAATAAATAAATAGATGGCTTATTGTGCACAAGAAAAATAAGATCGATAAAGAATTATTAAGACCAGAGCCAGGCAGTGGTGGTGCATTTCTTTTATCCCAGCACTCGGGAGTCAGAGATAGGTGGATCTCTGTGAGTTCAAGGCTAGTCTGGCCTACAAAGCTACACAAAGAAATCCTGTCTTTTTTTTTTTTTTTTTTTTGGTTTTTCGAGACAGGGTTTCTCTGTGGCTTTGGAGGCTGTCCTGGAACTGACTTTGTAGACCAGGCTGGCCTCGAACTCACAGAGATCCGCCTGCCTCTGCCTCCCAAGTGCTGGGATTAAAGGCGTGTGCCACCAACGCCCGGCTAAGAAATCCTGTCTTAAAAAACAAACAAACAAAAGAATTACTGAGGCCAAAAAGCAAACAAATGTACATATCAGTACTTTTGACACATGTCTCTTATAGAGGAAAAGGCATCAGCCCCACTTCGAAGTTCTCAAAAAACACTTGGAGTCAGAAAATAAAGAAACACGGGTTTGAGAAAGTCTTTGCTAAGCTGGGAGGTCATCCATGTGAAGGCAACAACATGCCATTCTTTCCTATGGGCTAGAGAAAGAGTTCAGGAGTAAAGCACTTGTCTAGTATTCCAAGCACAGAGAGGGCAGGAGGGAGGAAGACTTTGATAAAAAGTGTGATATCAAAAGACTGGCTGTATTTACAACAGTGAAACATTAACTTGAGATTAAGTAACTATGGTAACTATAGCTATGAAACAGATTCTAACTACAACGTTTAAAGATTTCTTTGGCCATGGTGGTGAATACTTGTAATCTCAGTTGCTAAAGGATCTGGAGTTCAAGGCCAACCTGGAATTAAAAATCTGTCTAACATAAAGGCCTTGCAAAATAAATTAACAACAACAACAAAATAGTATTCTGACTGTAGTAAACTAAGACAAAAATCTATCTTCTTTGAAAGTTTGTACGCTCTTGCCTATTAAACAGTATTCAAATTTGATGCATGGTAAATACAACAATTAACTCATAACTTTTTTCACTGAGTGACTCAACATAAAAAAATCCTTTTTTTTTTTTTTTTTGGTTTTTCGAGACAGGGTTTCTCTGTGGCTTTGGATGCTGTCCTGGAACTAGCTCTGTAGACCAGGCTGGCCTCGAACTCACAGAGATCCGCCTGCCTCTGCCTCCCGAGTGCTGGGATTAAAGGCGTGCGCCACCACCGCCCGGCAAAAAAATCCTTTTTAAGAGTCACTTCTTGTGAAAGGCAATAGCAGTGAGTGGTTTAATTCCTTTTTTGTTTTCGTTTTTCAAAACAGGGTTTCTCTGTGTATCCTGCCTGTCGTGGAACTCAACTCTGTAGACCAGGCTGGCCTCGAAGTCACAGAGATCGGCCTGCTTCTGCTTCCAGAGTGCTGGGATTAATGATGTGTGCCACCACCTCCTGGCTGAGTGGTGTAATTTCTACTTAGGAGTTTACTATACAAATTTTGGACAGACAGTAAGGAAGAAATGTTCAGTAAATTCTTATTAGAGTTTTTACATCCCAAACTGATTTCTTTGCTGCTTTAGGCTGCTAACCTGACTACTTGGGCAAAAGAAAAACAATTAGATAACACTACATCATAAACACGGAATCATTTCACATACACTGGTTTAATACACTCTTCCCCCAAAGTAATCCTATCATGCAACTGGTGAATTTTACTGGTACAAAAACGAACATTTTCATTTGGCTCAGAAACCTTCAACTCATGTTTTCAGTTTATACTGCTAGAGACTAAGGAGTGTAAACTTGAAAAGTAGAACAGCTTAAAACTATTAAGAAAGTGGCACTACAGTTGATAACTGTAAAAGGTAACGTTAGCAAAAGATTAACTTAAATTTATGTAACAACATGTCCCCAAGGGCAAACATATCTGATTATATCCTAAACCTATCCAGCAAAGTGAATTACCTCCTGTGGGGTTGAAATCGCCATCTCTGTCTTGCCCAGTAGACGGCCAACTTGCCGCGGGATAAAAGGACCAGACAAGGAAACATAACTGGCCCTTGGCTGCGCCAATGGGGTTGCAGCGCGCGGGGCACAACCCCCGGGGTTAGAGCCACTTGGAGAAAAATGCTGGGACGCAGTAAGAGGGGACCGAGCACAACGAGGGGACTGACTGCCAAGAGTCTAGACACCGCCGCCTGCCATTCCCCAGTCCCAGCCGTGGGGGCAGCTTTCTCCTCTAGCCTGGGCAGCAGGCGAGCCCTGATCCCTAAGTCTGAGGGCAACGGCAGGTTTACCGAGTGCAAGGGGAGCAACGGAAGCAGCGCGGAAGCCTGAACCCAGATTACGGCGCTACACGCACCGCGTGGGGGAAGAGAGTGAGACAGGCGGGCAGAGATGGGGGATGCTCAGTGGCCACCGTGGGGGCTGAGGTGAGAGAGAGAGCGCGACGGTTTCCTGGATGCGCGCAAAGGCTGGGAGGCGCGCTGCCTTGCGCGGGGGTAAGCGCGGAATCGGGAGTCGGTTCCCAGTGCCTTAGCGCTGCGGCGAACCAAGGGGAGGAGTAATTCTGGGTCCCCCGCACACCCCGTTGCGGTACACTCACCCGCGCCAAAGTCCTTCCGGAAGTCCAAGTTCGAAGATGGCGCCGCCTGTCGGGTCGCGGTTTTATGACGAAATCTTGAGCGGCTCTTCCTTGCCCCGCCCCCGGCACAAGGTAAACGCCAGCTTGGTCGAGAGCGCGTTCCCCTCCGAGTTTTCTATTAAACTCCGTGTTCCATAATGCAGCGCGGCGCTGCGCGGCGCGGCCTGAGCCCTCCGACGCCCGCGAGCTGGAGCCGGGCTTCCGCGGCCCGGGTACACAGCAGGGCCTTCTGGGAAACTCAGCAACCGGAAGGGGAGGTCGGCGCCTGCGCGGCACCGTGGCTTCCCCAGCGGCCTTGCTGCAAGCTTTGAGGGTTAGGTTGTCGCGTGTTAGCCGTCGCCGAACGTTCCGACCAGCCATTCCCACCCAGGTTGATGGCCTTGTGGCGAGCTGAACCAGACCGCACTGATTCCTAACTGCAACCCCGAGCTTCGACAGACGAGGAGACGAACCCTCGCCGCAGACCCACAGAGGATCTACTGGTTTTTCTGCTGCTAGTGAATGAGCAAAGACAGGAAGAAAATAAAAAGGGGGCAAGCCTAGCCTAGGCGGGTACGCTGAGCTTCTGAGGAGATCCTCAGCCCTACTGCCACCTCGTCCCTGGGAGGTGGCCTGTGATGAGGAGGAATCACGTGCGATGTAAAACCATATACATTTTGCAGGTCTGCCCAGACCCAGGAGGAGGGTGGAATAAGGCAGCCTTTCCTTTTCCAAATAGTCTTGTCCATTAATCCTCCTGGATGGAGATTTAGGAAAAGTAGAAATTGGGCATAATGGTGCACACTTCTATTCCCAGCGCTTGGGAGAGAGGATCATACTTGGATCAAGGTCATACTTGGATGTTGGAAGCAGCCTCAACTATATGAAAAGCAGGATATATCGACTCCCACCAGTAGTCCTTATTGAGTCCAGGACTTAAGACCCTACCTGGGTAACCCTGTCTTTTTTTAAAAAGGGGGGAGGGCTGGGGAGTGTGGGAGTCAGTAAAAACCTATGGGAGAGACAGAGGACGCCCAGTTCTCTCATATCCCCTTATGCCCAAATACAGCATTCTGAATGGATGTCTTCTTCCTATTAGATTTGGTTCCTCAGCATTGTGTAGAGAGTCACAGATTTTTTAAAAGATTTATTTATTTAGTATACAGTATTCTGTCTGCATGTGTCTCTGCAGGCCGGAAGAGGACACCAGATCTCATTACCAGTAGTTGTGAGCCACCATGTGGTTGCTGGGAATTGAACTCAGGACCTTTGGAAGAGCAGCCAGTGCTCTTAACCTCTGAGCCATCTCTCCAGACATTTACTTCTGTAATGAACACAATCTCTCTCCCTCTCTATCTTCCCGAGACTTTGGAGGCTGTCCTGGAACTAGCTCTTGTAGACCAGGCTGGTCTCGAAGTCACGAAGTTGGTGGAGCACTCTTTAATCCCAGCACTCAGGAGGCAGAGGCAGGCGGATCTCTGTGAGTTCGAGGCCAGCCTGGTCTACCGATCGAGTTCCAGGACAGACTCCAAAAACAATAGAGAAACCCTGTCTCAAAAAACAGCAACAACCAAAAACAAAAAAGAATGTGTGTGCCACCACTGCCCAGCAATAGTTACCTTTCTAAGCATGAGACTGACCCTGTTGATTTGCTTAAATTTGATGACTGAGTGGTACATTCAATCTAAAAAGCCCATAAGCTCATACTGACCTAAAAGTAAAAAAATACCGCTGTTAGTATTCAGGCATCTGCACTGGCCTGCCCTTGAGGTTCTGACAGGATACACTCTCAGCTACAGCCACTAAGAGCACCACCTGTACACGTTCACTGTTCCCTTTTCAGAGGGCCCTGTCCACTTTCCATCTGTCTGTCTGCTCCTTTCTCTGCCTCTCTTCTGCTCCTGTCCCCAGAGGCTGGTCTCCTCTCTCCCCTTCCCTTCTTCCCCATTCACTCCCCCCCCCAAAAAATCCCTCCACCCAAGCTCTGTCATATATCATCTTCCTCTTGCTCGCTGTGTTTTAAATTACAACACCACCAATACGGTGGTCCAAAGCCAAGAATCCTAAAGAAGGCCAAGATAAGTTTAAAGATAGCCTGGGTTGTGTGACAAGTCCCTGTCTGAAAAATAAAATCGAGAAAGCGCAGGAAACAATGGTTTACCCTACCTTCCATATGATTTAGAGTTTAGGAAAACACACTGCTGTTCGGTTCTTACTCCGCACCCCTTTCTTTTTTGAGTAGGCTCTCTTGCTATGTAGCAGCCTATGCTGTCCACAAATTCATGATTCTGCTACCTCAACAGTCCCTGGACTACAGGTATGCGCCGCCATCACACCCTTTAAAATGATTGTCATTACTAAATATGGAAGGTCTGAGAGAAAAAAAACATTCATATTCCAGTGAAATTATTCAAATAACTATTATTATTGGATAAAACCACTAAATAAAAGGCTCAGGGGAACCTTAAAATGTCAGGCCACACTCTAAATATAAAATCACAAATGATTGTTTGCTTCCTGATAACAAAGCAATATGAATCAGCTCAACCCATTTAGGTATCTCTACCAAAAAGGTGAATAGGAAATTACTGGGCTTAGAGAAGTGAGTTAAGTGACACCACTTAAAAAAAAGAAAGAAAAAGGTCCTTTAATCCCAGCACTGGGGGATGGGGGAGGGGTGGTCAGAGGCAGGTGAATCTGAGTGAATTTGAGGCTAACCTGGTCTACAAAGAGGGTTCCAGGATAGCCAGGGCTGTTACAAAGGGAAACCCTGTCTTGTGGGAAGGGAGTAGAAGGTCATTCTGAAAGACACATTTTTGTTTCTTTTGAGTACAGGTATGGAACCCAAGATCTATAGACCAGGCAGTTAAATACTCAGCTCCGAGCCATATCCTAGCTCAGCTCATGAAAAACAGCAGTGAGGGGCTGGAGAGATGGCTCAACGGTTAAGAGCACTAACTGTTCTTCCAGAGGACCTGAGTTCAATTCCCAGCAACCACATAGTGGCTCACAACCACCTTGAATGAGATCTGGTACCCTCTGCTGGCCTGTAGGCAGAAAGCTGTATACACAATAAATAAATAAAATATTATAAAATAACCAAAAAACTTTGGGGTTGGAGAGATGGCGCAGAGGTTAAGAGCACTGACTGCTCTTCCAGAGGTCCTGAGTTCAATTCCCAGCAACCACATGGTGGCTCACAACCATCTATAATGAGATCTGGCGTCCTCTTCTGATATGCAGGCAGAACACTGTATACATAATAAATAAATAAATTTTAAAAAAGGCTGGGTGTTGGTGGCTCACGCCTTTAATCCCAGCACTCAGGAGGCAGAGGCAGGCAGATCTCTGTGAGTTCGAGGCCAGCCTAGACTACCAAGTGAGTTCCAGGACAGCCTCCAAAGCCACAGAGAAACCCTGTCTCGAAAAACCAAAAAAAGAAAAACAGCAGCGGGTATATGAATTTGTTCCGACTCTGATTCAAAGTAGCCTACTGTAAGATGTCAATTTTGAGACAACCATGAACATTTGATTATGGGCTAGATAATACTAAGGAAGTGTTATGTGGTATGTGTGAACTTCTGTATTTTTTTAAGAGACACACTGAAGTCTGCAAGAATGAAAACAACTAATGTCTGGGATTTACTGTACAGTGACTTCAGCAAGGGAAACAATAAGGTCTGGAGAGATGAAATTGTCATCTAATTGCCACCTTGGTGTGGCCCCCCCATTAAATGATATAAAAATAAAAAGTGTGGCATATTTCAGCTCTTGGGAAGTAGCTTGAGTTCAAGGTCACCAGCACCAGCTACATAGTTCAAGGCTATGAGATCTTGTGTCAAAGGAAAAAAAAGTGGCAAGTTTTGATAACTGTTGCATCTAATGATGAAAATTGCTGTGAACTCTGTGAACTATATGGAAATTAAAAAAAAATGGGTGATGGTGGCAAACACCATTAGTCCCAGCACCAAGGGAGGCAGAGGCAGGCAGATTTCTGTAAGTTCCAGGCCAGCCTGGTCTACATAGCAGTCAGGACTACATAGAGGCCCTGTCTCAAAACCTAAATAGATAAAAATAAATTGACCAGACCTTTAATCCCAGCACTCCACAGGCAGAGGCAGGCAGATCTCTGTGAGTTTGAGGCCAGAGAACGCTTCTCTTGAAATAAATAAATAAATGAAAAGACAACAACTTATTAAGGGTAGGACTTGTGCTTGAGGATGTTCAAGGTAAACATGTGCTCTACAACTACAGCTGTAGCCCTTGGCTTTTTGACATGGTCTGTCCGCTTCTGCATCTGAACACTGTGGTTAAAGGCATGAGCCTACCATATCTAGTTGTGACATATTCATACACCTCATTCCTAGCTCAGGTACTACACAAAATATTAGTGATAATGGCTCAAAGCATGAATAGCTTTTTGTTTAAAAAATAGGGTTTTTTTATTTAAAAATATGTTTACGTTTTTGAGACAGGATTTCTCTATGTAGTCCTGGAACTAGCAGTGTAGACCAGGGGGGCTTCAAAAGCAAGAGACCTTTTTGCCCCTGCATTCTGAATGCTGGGATTAAAGGCATAGGCCACCATTTCCAGCTATTATTTCATGTGTATGTGCATCTTGTCTGTGTGTATGGTCACCATACGCAAGCCTGGTGCCTGAGGTCAGAAGAGGGTACCAGATACTCTGGAACTGCAGGTACAGAGAGGTGTGAGTCACCAGATGGGTACTGGGAATTGAAAACAGTCTTCTGGAAATTAGTTAATGAGCCACCTTTCCACCCCCAGTAGTTGGTTTTGAAACAAGGCCTTGCTTTGTAGCCCTAGCTGGCCTGGAACTCATTATGTAGACCAGGCCGACCTTTAATTTTACAGACCGAGGCTACGTCAGCTAGGACTAAAGGAAAGCTCTAGGAGTGCCTGGCCTATGAATATGTTTGATGCCTACACAAACATCTTGCTCTAAAGCACTGGCCTGGAGCTAACCGCCCGAGGAGGGTTTCTACAGGTAGGCTCACAGTGGGTGAGGAGGGTTGCAGAGTGTGCTCCTGACCTAAGAGGCAGCGATGCTCAAAGAGATGGATACAAAGGCAGCAGAGCTACGGGGTAAGGAGTAAGGCTTTTATTGGCCCTTACTCCCCCTCACTGGTCACTGCTCTTCACTCGAAGGACGACAGGCACAGAACTACAAGGGATCATGCCCAATTCTGTGATCACCAGATCCACG